GTGGACACACACCCCTACTGCATGTTCTTCGGTCTTTCAGACACACTCAACCCCACTGACATCCAGAGCTCAAGGAATATCCTATCAGACATGGATGAGCAGCTCTGAAGGTGGAAAAACTGGATCATCAGAGAGCACTGAGCCCAGCTCTATCAGCCACGTCAAGACGTCCAACACCCTTCATCTCACAAACAGGAGTCTCACTCCATGTGCCCTCCAAACCCATGTAGAAGCAATTCCTTCAGGCCTGGTAGCATGAGTGGTTTCTGTATGCCCCACAAACAAGATGTCTGGAAAAACAAAGTCAAACGATATGTTTATTTTTGTTGTTGATATTTGTACACATCACAAGTTACACAAAATGCCAACCAAGAAGCAGATGTATAAAAATAGCAAAATTATATTGGCACAAATTATTTTTTATTACTGATCGGTGTTTCACAGACACTTCTTGGCTAGGGTATGCAGGAGACTGTGTTTATTATACAGAGGTGATCACCAGAGTAAATATGCATCAGGTTTCACAGTGACAGCGAGCCGTACATTCAAGTTCTTATTCGGAGAAAGGGCCCATTAAGAAAGAGAGAGAGAGAAAAGAAAAGGAAGACAAAAGAAGAAACAAACTGCTATTCTTTGCATCCTACAATCTAGGCGGTCCCATTGGAAAATGAAAACAAAATAACATACCACAGATAAGTTAGTTCTGGAGTGCTGCCATGCATGATGGGTCCACTCAGCTAAGTCATGGTAATGTGTATGGTGACGCCTGGCACATGTCTTTTTTGGTTATCTGCCTTAGTAATTTGAAAAGACAAAGGCTGTCCAGTCCTAGAACTTCTGAAGTCTTTGCATTACAGACGGAAAACAGCTCTCGGGAGGAGGTGCATCTGCAGAGATCGGAAGAGTAGCCTGTAGCACCTGTCCTCTTCGGAAGTTTACTAAGTTGACATTGTGGTGGAGAGGGCAGGCCCGCTGGAGCGCTGGGACCCAGAAGAGCACGGGTGATGTCGCTGGGCACCTCACCTGACTCTGTTCCCACACCCAGCTGAGGCCCCAGTGCTCCAATAGCAGCAATGGGAATTCTTTCAAGAGGCACACGGATGGTATTGTTAACATGCCCACCTGCTCCCCTGCCCTGTGGTTCTCTCCTGGAGTATCTGAACACCCTCCGTCCTTGCTAGATCACAAACTCTGCAAGCACATGCTCACATTGGCTCCAAGCTGATTGCTCAGCCATAGCTAGTATATATCAAAATTCTTAGCACAGGGCTAAGCAGAGACTCAGTTTCCTTTATAATTTAAAACATTTGAAAAATAAATGTATAAATTCAATATTTATGGGAAAGTAAAATCAGACTTTCATACTAAGTTACCTACAATGAAGAAGGGATATAAGACCAAAGAAGGGGCCTTCTTTACAAAGAAAAGAACATATGCGTAACAAAGATGTGGGTACATGCTATCAGACTCCTCTTTATGACTACCTGATTTCCTCTGGGCAACAAGAACAGAGCCACCTGTTTCACTATCGGCAAAAAGTTGAACCTTGGGAAGGGCTACTTCAAGGTGTCTTTGCAATCTGATCCAATAAGAAAGACTCTTGGCGATAACTGTTTAAGATTCCAGACTGCTTACATGAATAGTGTCCCTAGCTGTGTGTCAAGCTAGAGAATATCCTCAGCTCTCAACAAGGGCTTACGGTACGACCTGAGCAGGAACATGGTTTCATTAGATAGATCATTGATGCGTGCACTGAACATATCTGGGAAGGTGCAGTGTGTGGACTCCTTGGGCTGTGATGGAATGCCCTGGCTGCAGGCAGCTGCAGACAAGGGACCCTGCCTCCAGCCTTTATGGATGACTCCCTGTTAAAACTTGAAAATGCCTTGCTTTATTACAAACAAATGCCCCTTCAACCACCCTTTTGCTACAAAATATACCTAAGATCCTCTACCTGTACCCTGTGAGGCTTTTGAATACCCTCTGTGGGGCAGCCACTCTTAGAGAGCTTTTCTTATCTAATTCACACTGCAACTATCTGGCAAGCGGCTATCTCCAAATGTACTCTATGGATGAGGAAACCCAGGTCTAGATGCAATGGCTCTCCTCATAGCACAAGACTCCGTCGTGATACATGATCCCACCAAACTCCTCTCCTTTTGCTAACTCAGTAGCTCAGCAAGTAAACACGAGCCAGTGCTAACGTTTCAGCCACTGAGCTGCTCTTTGCTGAGGAAGAGCAAGAAATGAAGGCGAGAGCATTCAAGTACTGGCCCTCCTCAGCAAACACTGACTGTACCCTCACCACATGCCAGGGCACGTGCAGACCACCGGGACTACCAGGTGACATAGACACAGTTTCTATCCTCAGGAGAGGGATATCCACCAGGGGGAGAATGATAAGGACACAGACAGAAACACGGTGGCAAGGAGGAGGAGGGGAGACCCTCAGGACCAGCAGAAAACTGAGTTGTCATATCAAGGCACCAAGCTCAGATTGGGCAGAAGTAGGAATTTACAATGCATGCATCATTACTGCAGACCCAATCCCCATGGTGAAAGGAGTTTATCACTGGTTGACAGCTCACATGATCAGCCATTCCACATGGGAGCAGCCCGGAAAGACGGGAAAGCTGTCAACAGAAGAGTACAGCCCAGGACAGATGCGGAAGGAAAAGCATGGTGTACAGTGTGGGAGGTGAGAGCTGGGCAGGAGGACAGAGAATGGGAGAAAGAGGAATGGAGCCCCATGGACGACCAGTCAGGAATGGGACAGTTGATACGACCTCTCCATCATGCTCACTGCTAACGTATTGAAACAAAAACACCTTTGCCACCAAATAATATTTCCCTTTGCCCTCTAATTGGCTAGGTATTTAGGTATTGTATACGGCAGCACAGCAGGATAGAAAATTCCAAGCTCTCTTCCTGGCCTTTCCCAGAGTCACCTTGCACCTGCCTGTGCCTCCATTAGAACACACATCATTTCCCATCAGGATAAAAGACTGGATCTTCCCAGGATCCATTGGGCAGAGGCTGTGTGTAGTCCTTTGGTGCTCTTACCTGGCACGGAATGAGGCTGCTCAATAATTATCTGGGAACTCTAGAAACAGAATTCTAGAAACTAACAGGATGTCTCTCTCTCTCTCTCCCTCTCTCTCTCTCTCTGTCTCACTTTCTCTCTCTCCCCTGACCGCCACCTTCTCCCAGATCCATAGGACTCCATCTGCTTGCAACCTGCCATCCAGGTCTTCTATTGTGCACCCAAGGTGGTGTGAACACATAGTTTGATTCAATGTTGGCAATCTTAATTTCTAACTAGTTTTGGGGAAATTAACAAATGATTTTTAAAAACTCACAAAATTATACTGAAAATGAAGACATACTAGACCATAATCTTGGCAGGCATTTTGTTTATAATTTGTATAATCAAGAATAGAATGTCCCTGTTGCATATTATATATATATATTTATTTATTTATTCATATATATTCAGTATTTATATACTTCAATAGAAAGAGACATAAAAAAGCCTTTCAAATGAGGCATGACACACAACACTGACGCTCTTATTTACAATAGAGATGTTCTTTCTACATGGCTGTAATAGACATGAGTTTACAAAGACAGCAGAACACCCCTGTGAAAAAGGGGTGCACCATGCAGCTGGACGTTTATTGCCATTAATTCTTACGATGTCCAGGCAGCATATTGGAGTTAAAAATGGCATCTGGTTATTGGAAACGATGATGGTCATCAGATTGATCCTGGTCCCATTAACCGCTAGCTGCACGGCCTTTCAGATGACCAGGGAATGGCGAACATAGCTGATGGGAAACAAAAACACAACGAGGAACATGCTCATCAGAGGGGCTGGAAAGGAGAAGCAGCTACAGACCTGTACCATCCTTCGCTGAGCACAGGCCCTGCTCCAGGACAGGAAACACAACACCTGGGCTGCATGATTGGGAATTTAATACTGCCCCCCCCCCCAGGCTACAGGATGGACTTGGACTCTTCTCTGCCTGTAAGGAGGCAGAGTTTACACTCAGGACTGAGGCCAGAATTCAGAAAAAATACCTTGTGGCCAACTGACCAGAGGCCTTAGACAACCCATTGTGTGTTAAGACCCAGGATGCAATGACCTACAGAGAAACCTTAATTCCAAGGGGCAGAAGTCTGCCTTCTAGCACATTCACCCCACCCCTGCCCCCAACACTCCACTTGGGTTTGAAGAAATCTACACCACGAGCCTTCAGCGAAATTGCCCATTCGGGCTTGTTCCCCATGTATGCGTTTGTTCAAAGCCACAATGTTAGGTCTCAAGGTCCTAAACTTCTTAGAAGGGCCCCGCCCCAAATGGCTTTTGTGAACCACAGCAACAATGATGACAAGGTGACACAAGGTGCTGAAACTCTGTCCTAAGTGGGAGCTTTCACTTGCCGCTGAGGGCTGCACTGGCTAGGTGCCAACCCTATTTCTAGTCACGCTCTCTTATACATCTAAGAGACGCGTCTCAGCCCAGTGTCCTCAGGCTTCTGGGCCACCGTCAACACCTGCTGCTTTTACAATCTCCTCTCATCTCCTACTGATCTCACATGACCTTCAGTCTGGCTGTGGCACTCAGACAAGCTCTGCCTCTGTCCCTGTTGTCTGTTGATGGTGACCTTTCCTAGCCCTTGATTTTCCTAAGGCAAGAGGACACTTCTGTTGGAAGATAAGCAGCACCCTTCTCAGAGCTAGCTCCCCTGAGGCTTGAGTCCAGCAACTCCTCTGATAAGACCTTCTCCTTCGGTGGAGTGGAGAAGCAGCTGGCCGTGTTTTGAGTTTTTTGCAATTGCGTTGGATGCTAACAGTATTTCTTTGGAAGTAAGTCAGCAGGAGCTTTTCTGCTAGGGTTTCACTCAAATTTCCCTACTACTGACAGAACTGAAGCAATTAAAAACAAATTTTATGGGCCAGGGCTATGCATAGAGAAAGTCTAGGGATGTAAGTAGAGACATTTGTTTAATAGGTTCCCCATGGTTATTTTGTTTTCACACACTTGTGTTGACCAGTGGCATCATCTTTATCATTCCTTACTGAAAGCCACAGTTTACAAAATAAAATTGGGATTTATAATTCATTCCTCTGTGCCTTGTTCAGAAAACACAAAGAGTGAATGAGACAGTGGGAATCACATTTTTGCTGAACCAGTAGCACAGTGGAATCTATCATGGGTTCTTTTTACACAGATATGTTCCACTTTTGCACAGAGGTTAACCTGAGTTTTGAAATGCTTATCAAATGATAAAGCTATGAGCTAATAACATGTTGGACAAATCTAGTCATATTGGAGCAATCTCTGTGACACAACAGTGCTTTAAAAAGATGTACTCACCTACCCCACCCATTGTGTTTCTTTCTCATGTTTATTTTTTTTTTCAAGAAAGCAACTGAAAAGAGTCTTAAGGTGGCTAGATCAATTCAAGCAAGGCTTTTTTTTGTCTATCCCGTACTTTGCTCGGCTTTTCCAAATATCCAGAACAAAAGTAGCCCACATGTCTAGATCCTCACAGCCTCCATCCCCCTAGTTGGAACTCCACCCTAGACTATAGAGGTCCATACAAGCATGTGTCAGCTCAAGCTCTCAACAGATTTCACAGACTCCTGGCGAGTTACCCGAGGCTTGCCCTAGCCACGTCACTATTTGAAGTAGTTGAGTCCTGCCACCAAGAAAAACTTCTCGAGGAAGAGCTCCGAGTCCAGCACGGCGATGTGGGCAGCTCGGCCAATGAGCGTGTTGGCAGTGTTGGGCAGGGCGTGGAACACGTTGTGCCGGATCAGAGTGCAGTCCTTGGCTTCCACCAGGGGGCCTAGAAGGTTGTTGATCATTTCCGCATAAACTGGCCCTGGAAAGAGCGGAGAAGAGTGTGAACCCAGTGCGGAAGTCGGCAGGGAGTTCAGGGAAGAAAAGCACCGGATCTATGTCAGGATCCTGTTCCAGGGTACACCTTCAAAAACCAATTCCCAGTCTCCTCCCAGTGCTTACAAAATGAAAATGAATACAAGCAGTTTTTATGGTCCATTTTGATTACAGCAACCGGTATTCAGAAGAGGAACTCCACACAACGGCCTGTGATCTTGCACCCCATAGCCAGGACAGAAATGGGGCGGGGGTGGTCCCTGGTGGGAGCCACCAGCGAGGAAAGATCCCCAGGAGACTATTTCAGGGGCCTGGGTGAACTGACTGAGACACAGTTCATTAAGAGCTGGATGAAGGGCCCAGAGCAGAGGCCTAGGGCTAACATCCATGCCTTGAACACGCTGGGATCCCATATGGGCACCGGTTCTGATCCCAGCGGCCCCACTTCCCATCCAGCTTCCTGGAAAAGCAGCCAATGAAGGCTCAAAGCTTTGGGAGCCTGCATCCGCACGAGAAACCTGGAGAAAGACTCCTAGTTCCTGGCTTCAGCCAGCTCCAGCTGTTGCAACCGCTTGGGGAGTGAATCATTGGACAGAAGATCTTCCTCTTTGTTTCTTCTCCTCTCTGTTTATCTGATTTTGTAATAAAAATAAATAAATCTAAAAAAAAAAAAAGAGGTGGAAGAAGGCACCCTCTACAGAAGCCACAAAGTGTAGCAGCAGCTCCCCCGATTCCAGTTCCCAGAAGGTAACAGATGCAGTCTTCTGTGGGTGTGGAGACTTGATAGAAAGTTGGAATCAGCTCAGCTGCCATTCTGTATCGGGCACTGGGCAGGGGTTGTGTGCTGATGGCAACCTGAGCCACAGGTAAACACGCAGTAGTCACTGGAGTCTCCAGCTCACAGCCCCTAGATGCTGTCCCTCCTTCCCTCAAAGCTGCTCATGGTAATATCCCTATCAACAGAAATCCTGCTGGAATCGTTCGTGTTTGGCTCCCTGGGGAGCTAGTAGAGCTGAGCCACTGCATGCTTATTCTCCGTGCCCAGGTCTATGACATAAGGCCAGTTTGTCGCTTTGACCTGTGTGGGTAGAGGGAGGCTCTGCACCTGACTCTGTCCCTGCTCCCTGCCACACCAGCACAGTCACACTGCACCCTGTTCCTCAAACACTAACGCCGGTGAGCCCTCCGAGGCTGAGAAGGACAAAGGTGCCCTCCGCAGCACTTGGAGTGTTGTTTTGACCTTTGTCTCCCCCTACTGAGCAGTAAGACTTCCAGTTGGATCCTGTTGAAATGTCGAATTGAAACAATTAGGGGGTTGACTGTGAAGACCTCTGTCTTACTACATCAATTCAGCTTTAAAGAACTTGGGGTGAACAGGAAGGCCATGGTCCTTGTTGAGAGCTGTGAACGTTTGCCAACATCGCTCACTGCTGAGTACCAGGTAGGCTGAGACAACGTCACAACACACAGTGTGCTTTCAGCGGGAAAACGGAAATTCAGCACCTGCGGATGCTTCTACACCCCTACCAAATGGTGAACATGAACACTGCACGGTAATAAAAATAACACGTGGGTATGTCACCAAAAGGAAACACAAGTAGAGGCTTGTTGCACCAACACCATAATTTGCTTAAGTTGTGTGTGCAACTGAGATCAAAAGCCGTTTGCTAAAAAGAAAACAAAGTCACTCCCACTACAGTGACTACTCAGCTGGCTCGGCACCTGCTGACGTGTTCACTGACGCAATCAGCAGAAGAGGCAGCCCTCGGCAGTTTTGTAGAACCATAGTTTACCCTTAATATGCAATCCATTTTTTTCCTCTGATAAAGCACCGTTGTACCTTGACGGACTTGGGGGGTAGGAGACAATTATCTGCAAAACAAGGTCATGGGTACAGTGGCCGGTGACCTAGAGAATGAAGTTGGAGAGATCATTTATTTCAGAATTTAAATATATATATATATATTAGGACGTCTCCCAGGGAAAAAAAAAAGGAACAACCACCTGTAAGTAAAATCTTACATCAAGTCTCCCTGTACGTTGCACCAGTGAAGCCACATTCCTGCTCTGGTCATCTGAAAACATAACTGAAGACATGAACTCAAAGAGACTGCTCACTTTTCCCAATGTGAACCCAGTGCGCAAGCCGGCAGTGGAGTTCAGGGAAGTAAAGCATCGGATCTAAGTCAGGATCCTGTTCCAGGGTCTGACTGGACCAATAATCAATTTATCATAACTTAACATCTTTTGAAGAATACCAATTTTTTAAAAGATTTATTTTATTTTTATTGCGAAGTCAGATATACAGAGAGGAGGAGAGACAGAGGAAGATCTTCTGTCGAAAGGTTCACTCCCCAAGTGAGCGCAAAGGCAGGTGAAGTGCTGATCCAAAGCCAGGAACTAGGATCTTCCTACAGGTCTCCCACGTGGGTGCAGGGTCCCAAGGCTTTGGGCTGTCCTCGACTGCTTTCCAGGCCACAAGCAGGGAACTGGATGGGAAGTAGAGCCACCGGGATTAGAACCGGCACCCATATGGGATCCCGGCATATTCAAGGCGAGGACTTTTTAGCTACTAGGCCACCGCTCTGGGCCCAGAATACCAAATACCCACTGCAATGGCTGGTGAGCCCACACAAGAGGAAGGAACATGTAACTGTTTATTACACAAAATGAATATCCTGCATACACACACACACACAAGATAATCTAGACCAATCAGATGTAAAATGCACACAGCACCATCCAGGCATCCCCAATAGGCATAGTCAAGTCAGTTTCATTGATTTACTAGTCCATCACAAAGTCTCTAAACAATCAGCAGATTCCACTTACCTGTGTGTCTGTCTTTGAGAGCAGTTTTACACATTTCAATCCTGGCTGAGTGAAAGGGCACATAGCGGTCCTGGGGCGATGCGACCAGCACGACGTTTTTAAAGTACTGCAGTCCTGGAACAGGAAGCCAGGTGCGTTTTTAAAACTCAAGTCACTTGAACTGAAACCCCTTTTGGTTTTCACACACTTTACAGATTCATTTTGCAGGGAAAGCAGAGCCCAGACCTGGGCCCCAGGGTGCTACCCTGCCAGAGAGCTTGTCCTGTGAGATTAGGCAGCGCACATCCCTGGCAGACAGGGCAGCAGGTGCCTACAAGAGCTGAGAGGAGGATGCTCTACACCTGGCCTTCGGTGCTTCATAGGGAAATGAAGACTTTGCTTGCATCATCTGTAGAAGCTAAGAAGCCACAGCAAGCTACCCTGAATGGTGAGCAGCAGGAGAAAAAGCCTTCTGGAGCTAGGTGATGCTGAAGAGTTCCAGGAAGAAGGGCATCTGAGTCTACTGGCCGCCCTCAGCCACAAAAGCTCACTGCATTCCAACCTTCATCAGGTCTCCCACTTTAGCTCCCATCCCACCCCACCCCACCCCCCATCCCATCCCATCCCATCCCACCCCACCCCATCCCATCTTCCTGCAATGTGTTCATCTCACTGCATTCCAGCCTTCATCAGGTCACCATGCAGAGTGGCATCAGAGTGCATCTCCACTGTCCTCCAAGCCCAGCATGGCACCCCAGCTCCTGCCTCTGTCCGCATTCTCACTCCCCACATGCTGCTGATGCTCTCAGCCATGTGACCCTGCAGAGAAGTGTGCCTCTTCATTGAGCTCTGATCCGGATCACACTGGGGCAGCCTGTGTCCAATGCTGGCCCATACAAAGGTGGAGAGGGCAGGGTGTGACAGTCACTCTCTTGTCCTGCTTTACGACAGCTCTATGTGGCCATCTCAGCATCTGAGCTCCCCCAGGTGAAACACTGAGACCCTGAGCCTGCCTTCCTCTCCCTACTTCCCGCAATAACTGCGCATTCAAGGTATCATACAAGTATACACAGTAGCTAAGGTTCTTGTGCAAGGAAGTCTGTGGCTTTGCCTGATTTATATTTATGGAGATAGAAAGTATCAATCGAGTTGGTGCCTAGAGAGCAACGGAGGACTGTGAAGCAGGGGCAGACCCTGTACCAGGCCAGCATGCTTGGCAGGACCGGGCAGGCCCATCAGTTGGCTCTTTTGCCCTCCCTATTGGACACACTGACCACTCAGTCCCCTGTCATCCTCTGAAGTCACACGAACAACACAAGCAGGTCTTCAACGGCCCTGCACACTTTCCCATTACAGACTGTGGGAGGTATCACATCAGGTCAAGGACAATGACTCATGTCCCCCACTCAGTCCGCATAAATGGACAAGCTTGCACCTTCCAGGTTTGTATGTGAATCTGTATACCTGGGGGAAGCTGAAACCACCCATCTTGTGCTTATGTGATTAGAACAAGAGAAGATGGGTGGTGGGACAGGTGCTGTGGTCCCACATGGGAGGGTCACATTTCCTGTCCCAGTGCCTGGGACTGAATCCCACCCCTGCTCTCATGCAGCTTCCTGTTGATGTGCAACTTAAGAGCAGAGGGTGACGGGTAGGCACTTGGGATCCTCTGATCTGTGTAGGAGACCTACATGGAGCTCCTGGCTCCTGGCCTTGGCATGCTCCAACCCCAGCTCTTGCAGGAATTTACAAAGTTAACCAGCAGAACGATCCTCTCTCCCTCTCGCTCTCTCTCTCACTCTCTCTCCTCATTCGCAATGATTTCATTCATTTATTCTCACTCTGCCACTCTTCCTTTCAAATGATGGAAAATAACACTTTGAAAAATGGTAATAAAAGATTACTAGAGAGTAGAAGCTATAGCATGTTTGTTTTGCGATGACCCCCCCCAACACATGTACACACATCCATTGGCCTGCATCTCCCATGTCCCTGCAGGAGAAGGGCTGAGGACGCCGAGTCTTTGCAGAGCTGTTGGCTTCCCCAAGAGTGGGAGACACACATTCGGAGTGCATCACTGTAGCATTAAGGCTGAGGTGTGTCTCAGGGGTCAGACCTAAAGCTCAGACTGGAGCCCGGAGCTGCACGGGCTACTGCCCTACCTGTTTTTTGGCTTAGTTGGTACAAGAAACATTTGCGTAAGTCAGCATTATCCCTGAAGGTCAGCTGCAGAAGGGACCCAGATTTCTTCAGTTTCTGCATGAGCCACAAGCCTAGGAAAAACAAAGCAAAATAAAACACAAAGCCAAATGGAACCGATCAACTATGAATCTAAAGAATAAGAGAGTAGTAGGCATTTCAGCAAACATTTGAGTTATCAGAAGCAAATTTGCATTCTCATGTTTAAATCGTCCACAAAATGGCACAACCACAGGCACCTGGAGCCTTGACACCGGTTGTGTCTTCTGCTTCAGCCCTCCTCCTCCTGAAGCCCTCGGAGGGAAACGCGCACGTCCTGCCAAGCTGCCGGAGAACACAGCAGCATCTCATTTCACAGCCCTCGCACCCAACTTCTGCTGACACTGGCATGGATGAGTGGATTGTGTCACCCCCAAACAAATGCTTTTGATAAAATACCAGGAAGTGAACAAGAGCCACAAGTGCAAATGTGCTTGAGTGCAAAGGCACAGCTACGAGAGGCTCCACACTCTAGACAGGCGTGATCAGAATCGCCGGTGATGACCTTAGCTTGTTCCAACATCACAATGTCTCTGTGACCAGGGAAGGAAATACGCTTAAATTCATTGATCTCTGTATAAGGATCCTGATTTGTAAGGAAGGCTAATATGACAGAGAAAGAGGTTTCTGACTGTTCTGAAATTGTCCAATATGCCATGCCCTTACAATAACAGAAAAGCCAGTAAGTGACTCATCATGTGACCCTAACTATATAACAGATTTGGACAGTCAGGCTAGCTTTGAGCCATACAGGTTAAATAAAGCCAGTTTGTGGCACTGGTATCCCATACGGCGCTGGTTTGTTTCTGGCTACTCCACTTCTGATTCAGCTCGCTGCTATTGGCTTAGAAAAGCAGGATATGACCAAAGTGTTTGGGCCTGTGCCATCCATGTGGGGGACCTGTATGAAGCGCCTGGCTCCTGGCTTTGGCCTTGCCCAGTGTTCAGTTGAAGACATTTAGGAAATCTCAGCTGTCTGTGTCTCCCTTGAACTATATAACTCTGACTTACAAATAAATAAATTCTTATAAAACAATCTCAACATTAAGGTCTGCTAAAGCATTTGCTAGCCACACAATGTATTAAACTACTGTGACACAGACCGCATGCCACACATGGCCTTCCAAATACCAAGCCGCATCACTCCCCCGGTTCATATCTCGCAGGTGTTATCACCACGGTCTACAGGGCGAGTCCCTCATCACCTCTCCCTGGCTTCCTAGGTTTGCAGGACACGCTCTGTGCTGCTGCCACACAGCAGTGTCCCACTGTGCTGGTCACATACCATTTATTCTGCACAGAAAACTCTCCCCACCACTCGCTGTCTTGGAAAACACACTCATCTTTCAAAACACACGTGCCTTGCTTCTTTCCCCCCGCGGGAGCCTCGATGGCAAGAGCAAACAGGCAGCAGAGAATTCCTTCACATGCGACTGCCCATGAACGGCAGCGAGCTTTGCCTTCCTTCCTCAGCTTAGCCCCTAACACTGCTGTGACACACACGTGCATGCAGCACCCCCCCTCTCACACACACACACACACACACACACACACACACACACACACACATCATACACACCCTCAGCACCCGTGTTCTGTGCTTCTGCCCATTCAGCCGACTGTGGATTAAAACTATTGGTAAGAAAACTGCATCTGTACTGAACATAAATGGATCCTTTTCCTAGTGATAATTTCCTAGGAAATCTGATATCACAACTATTTGCACACATTTGCACTGCACGTGATAGTCTAAGTGATCTAGGGACCATTTACATTACATAGGAGCACTGTGCAGCCTTACGCAAAACACTTCATTAAGATGCGCAGGCTTTGGGGCATTCAGGAACTGTCAGGAGTCAGGAACCAAGTCTGCAAGGGTCCTTTGGGACAACAGTAAACACACATGTGTATTATATGCACGCCTACACGTATACACATGTTGTGGATGTACACAGACATGCACATGTACAAACCTTCATGCACATGATCTACATGTCAAACAGTAAGCAAACTGAGGCACACAGTGGCTAAATGTCCTGGCCGGAGTTCTCCCTAAGTGTCTGACTCAGGACTTAACCTCTCCGTGCGGTCCACACCCACTTCTCTATTACACCATTGCTCCTCTCAGTCTTTCCTTCCAGAACCTCAGGGACGTCTCTTTCATGTTTGCAGAAATGTAAAGGAGAAAAGACCTTGAGAAGCATTTAGCCTAACTCCACCGAGGTCATGAACAAAGGGGTTCTATCCCTAAGCCAGGGTTTTTACCATGCTCTCATATCCCACACTTTAACACCTCCCAAGTCCCAGGGTCCCAGCAACAAGAAATTCTTCCTTGTACCTAGTGTCCTGGCTTAATCGACTATGAGGACTAACACGCCTTGGACACATCTCACCTGTGCTGACCAGGGCACTGTTGTTGTACAGGGTCCCCAGGTGAGGCCCGGACAGCGACAGGAAAGTGTGCAGTTTGTTGAGGTAATACCGGAACCGGGGCCGAGTAAGGACAGATCGGATGATGATGTTGCCGAGAGAATGGCCAATGAAGCTGGAAAGAGAGAAATCATACAAGTGAGTGTGACCCCACAGACCAGCTGGTGGACAAGTGTTTGCTGGAGGCACTGAGGCATCAGCCACCTCCCCCATTCACACACCAGATTTAGGAGACCTTGGCAAAGAAAACAGCGGCCTTTCTGTAGGTGTAAATGCTGGCTGTGTGAGGCCTGAGCTGGGTGTTTTGCAACTGGCTGGCCAGAGGACAGCTGATGAGCCTGCTCCCAGCTTGCACTGAGTGACACCCCTGCTGCAGGCACACTGCTTCTCAGAGACCCATAAACGCTGTTCTCACTACAGCCAGCAAGTAAAAGCCATGGGCACTAGTGCGTGACGTAGCTTTGCTTAGCTGCATCCTCTCACTTGTCCCTCTGCACTGTAGGCATCAGGGTGGACAGACTAACCCTGACACCTACAGAGGATGACACACTTAGAAGGGTTGGCATGATGGTTTCCTAATGGAATGCCCCCAAATGCGAGCTAGTGTCACTTCAGCCCCTTCAAAAGTGAGCTTTGGCTGTGCTATAGTGTGGGCAGAAAAACATTACTGACTGATACTCTCTCAAGAGGCAGACAATTCATGAATGCGATTTACAATTCACCATTTTAGTGTTAGTTCATTCCGCTTAGACAAGGAAACTGAGTTTGTGGGATTTGGAAAGGTCATGTAAGGTTACACATCAGATTTATGACAGCTACAATTCAAACCCACAAGGGCTAGAAACTAGGAATATTTGTCTTAAATCTACTACTATTGCTACTAAGCAAGAACAAATGTTTATCATTCCTCACACATACAATGACCTAGTCTGAATATGTCAACCAATCGTCCTGCCAATTATTGCTGCTTTGAAAATCACAAGCCAACTTATCCCAATACGCAGAAGAGGCCATGAATGAACACAGCAAGCACTCAAACGTGTTGTCTCCTTCATTCAGAATGAGCTTCCCACACATTCCTGTACCTGATCCTGGATATGGAGAGGTTGTACAACTGGATGTGTTGGATGATCTCATCTAGTAGCCGATCCGTCATGGTGTCAAAATCTGCAAACGTGTCCATCTAGAAGGCAGAGAGGAAAAGGGGGTGGCCTAGGCCCTGGAAAGGACCCCCAAACCACCCAGGCCTTAGGAAGGATGGCCAAAGGACCCAGGAACATAGAAATGGGGGGATAAATGGCATGTGTGCCATTACGTAGCTGAAGGGCCAGCATGGCCCTTGCACTGCAATAACGACAAGCAGTACATTTTGGGAACAAGAATGGGAGTCATGGGGAAGAATTATAGGGTTAAGATCCTCCACACTTATAAAAAAGCCCCTTGTGCATGCAGCTTACAATGGGCTCCAGCCCCAGCCGAGCACTAGTCATTGTGGTCACTGCAGGATGAACCAGGAGATAGCACTCCCTTGCTCACTTATTTCCTCTCTCTTCCTCTCAAATACATAAATAAAAATACTGAAATCAGCAAATCTTCATGCAAAAGCAGAGTGCCACTAATGTCCCTGCTTACAAGATTCACAACAAAGCATTGTGGGACATAATCAGGGCACAGAGACCTGACTCTGTGGGCTCTGCAGGGTGCCGGGCACGGACCTGCATGGCATGGGGCTGGAAAGGCAGATCCTGAAGACAGGTTCCCTATTAGTGCTAACTTACCACACTCACTCTCCCTACAAAGTAAACATCACTAGCATGCATTGCAGGTACAAAACCTTTGCTGTTCACTCACCTGCTCCCCATCTGAATTCCTTCCTCTCTTAGCACTGGATCATATTTAGTTAATAGGAAAGGCGGGGTACACTGGCATGCTCTTCCTCTCCAGCTCATATGGATAAGGAACCCTGAGCGTCTGTCAGGGCCTCCTCTCTGCTTCTCTAAGGAGACGGTGGTATCAACATGCAACGTGTTGTGACATGAGGTAAAGACTTAGGACTAAAAGAAATCCTCTGTTCACCTTTGTCTCTTAGTACTGTATGGCGTCTGGCCTTGAACCCAGCAGGTGGCATATAAAAGGCAAATGGAAAGCACAGGTTGAATGGAACATTATCTTTTGCAGTCTACTGGCTCCCATTATCAATGGCCACTAGTAATGACCGTTTATTTATATGTAGTTCTATGCCTCCAGAAAACACTTGGGGTATGCCAATGCCAATACCATTGGGGTAGGAACCAATACTACTTCCGGCAGCCCCATCTCTTGACCATGAATTTTTAAAGGATTCATTAACTCTGAGACTTCACTAAGGTCTCAGACTTTGCCTTCTTGGATATGGTAATGACTGTAGCAGTCACCCCGGACTTAGAGAAGTCATTGGTTACACATGCCTCAAAGTCCCCAGTGTGGATTAACAAACACATCTGCAAATAACTAATGCCTACGTTGCTTCTACTCTAAAGTTCTATGACAGTCAAAGGTGACACTCAATTGACCCAGAGGTTCTCCTTTCTCAGCCTTTGCTCACCCTCCTGAAGGAAATCAGTGTCTTTTCTCTCCAAACGGTCAGGTGGTTACAAGCTACCGTCTGCTTCACGTGCAGCCATCGGTCCTCATGGCCCCAGTGTGAGACATGGCCCTGCATTCGAGCAGCTCTGAGCCTCTTGTTGCCATACCTGATTCTTCTCAGACATGAGGAAGTCCAGCTTCCCTCCGGGAAGGCCCAATTCTATGAAAGTCTTCACGAGTCGGAGGTCTGCACTGTTCCCTAATGAAAAGAGACAACCCCAACCCCAACACATGTTAACTACAGGAAAGATGACGAAACACAAGGGGTTTCTTTTTCTACTTCCTTCGTTTCCTCTGTGTCTTTCTAATGTTTTGGTAAGCCCATAACCAAATTAACTAATCAACTAAAAAAAGAAGAAGAAGAAAAGGCAAACACCTGTTTGCTTGTTGCCCTTACTCCCCCATTCTCTCTCTCACACACACACACACACATCCTCCTTAGGGGTTCTATCACAGACAAATTCCCTAATGGATTATCATGTGTCTTGGGGTATCTGTCCACAGGAACAGCTGGAGGTACTGTCTCCCTTTTTTCCAGAGCAAATCCTATTTGCCCAAGAGGTTTTGATGCAGGGCCCCCTAATGTCTTACATGGCATAATCTGACTCCCAAAAGCCTCCTTTAAATTTCTTGTTTGAAACACAAAACTATCGAGCTATCAAGTTCTCCCACTAACATGAAAAGAAACATGCCCCTGAAATGGCATAGTTATTTAAAAAGGATAATATCCCTTGGGAACAGGAATCAGACAAGGCAAGCTTCCTGGAAGCCTAACAAGCGAGCATTTGTGCAGAGGAGTAACAGGCCAATAATTTGGGAATTTCGCTAACAGCAGAGGCATTAAGAACACAGAGAATCCATTCCTGAAATAAAATTTGTATGGAAAAATGCTTTGGATAGGAAAGAATAAGTTTAATATGCTAGTATCTTTCAAGCATGTCACAGGGTTTCAACTGTAACATTAATGAACTTTGGGCCAACTCCTCAAGTTCACTGCTGTTGGGATGAAAGTTGGAAGCGTCCCTCCTTTACCATACAACATGTATTGCATTTTACACAGCTTCAAAGTGGCTTGTGAATCATAAGTGAGAATAAGTGCTATCATTCTTCACCATTTTTAGTGAAACTAGCCAGTGACTTGAAACAGGATTAAAGTGTCAGACGGAATTCAGGGGAAACCGGGTGTTCCAGGGCATTCCTCATATTGGAGGATGAGTCCACAGGTCCAACGCCACCCTTGCTGGTGACCCTGAGGACACTAATCGAACTTGCAGGGCCACGGTCATAAATGTTCATGTTCTTTCAGGAAATATGGGTATCGTAGCCCACAAAGTTAAAGCTTTTTCTTTACTTCTGTCACTTCATCGATTGCACTTATGCTCTTTGATTCCACTTTTGTAACCATTGTTTAAACTTGCCTATTAACAGTCCAAGGCTTGAAAATGAAAATTAAAAGGCACAGGTGTTTGCATTTGCATTCAACACAGAAAGTCTCAAGAAGGAATGAAATAACCCCATCCTCTAGTTACTGAGAAATAACTTTTGGCAACTATGGCTTGGTAGGGGTTTAACCTGAGAATATTAGTAGGAAGATAATCTCGGGCGTTTTGCAACGCATAAATAAGTGTAGGAATATTCACAGCCATGGTCACATTTCTGTTAATGGAAATTGAATTTGAAATCATAGATCTTGCAAAATTTTTAAGAGTTTGGACAAACAAGGGAACTTCAAACACTTCGAAGTGGACCACAAAATTAAAACGTAAGTTTACTTTGTTGCAAAACAATTTGGAAATCCATGCCTGATATTCTCATAATATGCATTTTTCATGAATGGCTTAAAGATTCCTCAGATTTGAAACAATTCTTTGTGCAGAAGAAATGTATCCTTTAAACCCACTTACTATGAACCTCTTAAAGTGTCTTGTTTGCCATCAGCTGGGAAAGAAACCTTCCTGAGAACCTGTGGGTGGCTGTGGCCAGAGGATCAACACAGCCAGGGCAGCTCTGGTCACTGACAGGGATGGTCCTGGGGAAGCTGCTTCACTTTTGTGCTGTTCCTCTTCTCTGACATATATGATGGGGAAAAAATGACCCAGCTATTATTTTAACAAATGAACTGTGAACCTTGTCTTGCCATGTAATATCCCCCAGTAAGAGATGCAGACTGGCCTCTATGATATTAAACTAGTGAATGTGAGAAAGTTATCTTCAATTCCTGAAACTCTCAGAATTATTACAGGGTCATGGCACACCACAAATGCCCTGTCAGTGAAAAGTGAGTAAAAACAGACCGCATAACAGTTTGGGCTACTATCCTGAACTCCTCTCACTCCGTTTCTTCCATTATTCATACTGTCCCACTGACGCGTGAATTCTATTAACTGATAAATTTTAATTAGCTGTGTGTTTCACTGATATATTCACTTTAATAATACATTAATCTCACCATTCCTTCTCTTATTTTGTACTTCCATTTCATTAATTATTCCATTTCTTGATTAATTCCATTCATTCACATATTTATTCCTCTCATTTCTTCACTACATTAAATCACTCAATTGTTTGTGGTTTACTCAACAGATTTTTTTTTGTGCCACAGAAGAATTCTTGTCAGGGTAGTAGCGGGGAGGCAAGGGCATGCTGTTTCCCTGGATTCCCAGTCTCTGCCATTCCCCAGTTGCTAACTGAATATTTTACAAAATGAATGTCTGGTCTAAATTAATCCCCACATTTTATAGATTCTTTACATAGCACAGAATTTTGAGGAGAAAACTTGTTTTGTTTGTTCGTTTGTACTCACCATCCAGGCCGTGGACACAAACAACCAGGTGAATTCCCTCTTCCAAATTTTCTTCCTCTTCCTCTGGTGGGAAATACGGTCTATCAGAAGCTAGTACAGATAAGTCACTGTACAGAAACTCTTCAATCTTCAGCTCTTTCTTAAACCGTTCTTTGGCCTGATAAAAGCTAGAGAACACTCTAATTAATCCCACTAATTAATATGTAGTCAAGCTACACATTGCATGTTGAACAGGAAATGGGCTGGGCTAGCATGTTAGACTAACACATATCCAAAAACAAAAGATCTGCTCGGTGGCAAATGCTGAATAGGAGAGCTGGGTGAGATGAAACAGTGAAGCTTTCTCCTGAAGCGCTTGAAGAAAAGGGAAATTTCTACAGATTTGGGTTAGACTTCTTTCTACACGTTGCATGCACAGAACTCCTAAGAGTCTCAGGCATCCATTCCACCAACTGAACATCCAAGCCACGCACGGCCTGGCCTCTCCCTGCTGGTCCAGTACTCTCTCCCATCACTCCAGGTTTTACAGTTCCTGGCCAGGAATCGGATGGTGTTGCTTTCCTGCCTTGCTGCATGGAGGTTTGTATGCTGGGTGCTTTCCCACCCAGTCACAATGTCCTCTGCCTGGTCACCTGACAAGACAGTGGGGAAGGGCATGGACTCAGCAAGTCAGATCGTCAGGCCAGAACCCTGACTTTGAAACCACTCGCTGCTGAGGGTTGAACGCTCATTACCTGAAATACGTGGGATCGCAACTGCTTCAGATTTTGCGGGTCTTTTTTTTTTTTTTTAAGATTTTGGAATATTTATACACACAGAATCACATACCTTGGTGAAAAGATCCAAGTTTAAAACCAAATTCATTACCACATATACTCCTTATATATATAACCTAAACATAATTTCATAGAAAATCTTTAAGTTACAAGAAATAAAGCTTCAGATTGCAGAATTTCTCATGTGGCATTGCTTCTGTATTGAAGAGTTTTAAGCTTGGCAGGTTTGTTAGTTTTGAATTTCAGATTAGGGATGCTCAAACTCTACATCATCCTTTCCGCAAGGTATGTCATCATCATCACAGTCCTTTAGGTAGAGATGCCATCTTCGCTGAAACGCTTCCCCGAAATTCCAGCCCTTTTCACAGCCACCGTGTCTCAGACAAACCAGGGCCCTGTCATGCTGGCTCCATGGGGCCCGCACATATCGCCATCTCTGTCTAGTCACAGTCCCCAACTACTTCGCAGATCTGCTAGCCTCCCTGATAGACCTTGGGTATAACAAAGTCAGGACAACCAAGCCAGGCACTGAGCAGCATCTATCTGGTGCTTGTCACACTGATAACAGGTCTCATCCATCATGTATTTTAAATTCCTCACAAAATAAAAGGTCCAATGTTGACCTACCTGTACAATTTCTTTGGGGGCTATTAGTAATAGTAATGCATTAGTATTCTGCAAGGGAGCAATAAGATAGGATAAAATTGATAGAATGATCATGTTACAAATCTCATCACATTCATCATTTATAGGTATAAGATCAGCGTGAACACAGACCCAACATTAGGAAGGGATGGGTTCTGGCACTGCAAGAAGAATCTTAAGAATCAAAGGAGACTTGGAAGGCAACTCGGATAAGAAAGTCAAGTCATATTCCCCCAGGGTTTCTTAAGAAACCTCTAAAACTGTGCCAAGACAGAAACAAGGTGGTATTCACAAGCAAGTTGTTAATGATAGCACAGAAGCACCAACATGTACAGCACAGCCATCTGTAAACGATACGGTCACTACATCACAGTGCATCCACACAATGTTTTACTGTGTGAACACGAAGATGATGGTGCGAGAAGTAAATCTACAATTATGGAGAAACAGGAAACATTACAATCGTTAAAACAGAAGAATGCAATATGGCATAAAAGCAACACCGAGATTTCAATGCACAAAAACAAACGTGGAAGACTATTCACAGGAGCCACATTAAGAAGACGAGCTTGTTGATGAGTTTTACTTCCTGATACTATTCAGCATTTGTAAATCTGTATGATATGAACTCAAATCTGAAAGAAAAAGCAAGCTGTCTCAATTTTGAAATAGCATGCATAACATTGAGAAATAGGTGGCATGTTCTAGAATACTGCTCTGGGATGGACAAGCCAGCAGCGAGCATACCTAAACATTCTTTCACTGACTTCTTCCTCCAGCTTGCCGGAATGAGTAGAAACGACTCCAAAGGAGCCCAAAGGCTGATGAGTGATGGGGAACGGAGTCTGTTTGGAGGAGAATCCAGCCCTGGCAGGGGTCTCCTTGGGCACAGATGAGAAAGGGAGACAGGTAGCAGTGCAAGACACAGACATGTTGACGACCTCCACGGCCTTCAGGTTCTCCAGAGTGAAAGACTCGCCGTGGGCCAGCTGGGCTATGGAGCTGCCCCCTTTCGGCTCCTGACTTCTCAAAACCTGGGAATGTGCAGAATGAGTCACAGTGGGGCACACGTTGCCTGCTTCATGTTCAGCCTCCGGGAAGGTGACGGCACCTTTACTCAACACTTTGTCATCGATGATGCAAGGTGAACTGCTGCACCCAACTGCCGGACTCGGACTCAGGGCCTCCGCCCCCGATACACGGCTGCGTTCCGGCACCTTATGGTGGGAGATGCTCCCAGCCTCTGCGGTGCAGCTGTTGGGAAAAGGTCCTTTGCCCACAGTCAAATCCATAGGCATGCCCTTTGGAGTTTCCATTGGCGCTCTCTGGAAAGATCTGGCCCTAGAGTTTTCAAGTGTTGCAATGTGTGGGGTTTTTAAATTAAGAACTTTGGTTTTAACACCTGCCACATTTTCAATCCTGCTGTCAAGATGACAGTGTCTTTGAAGATCAAGATGACCCCCTTTCCCATTGGGGATGTCCATGTAACCAGGACCCTGCTGGTTGTCAGCATCTAGAACAATTTCCACAAAGGGATACCCTTCTCCGGAACCCTGCATCCTGGAACTACCACAAGGCTGAGAGCCATGTTCAGGGGAATTCAAAGCTTCAGCAAAAGTTGCTCCTGGCTGCTTGGCATCCGTGTCATCAGCAGTCTCCTCTGGGCTGTTGATTTGGGGGGCAGAGACAGACTTGGTTAACTTGGTGAGTGCCAACTCCCGTTCTTCATCCTCAAAAGGCAACGAGCTGATGGAGGTCAGAGAAGCCTGGATGCCACTCGGCAGGCTCGTATTGCTTTCCGTGTGCCCGCCCTCCAAGGAGTTCCTGTGCAGAGCATGCCTTCGAACCAACTGCTGCAAGACGTCCCTGTCACTGGGTAACTCCAGGGCCCTGCTTCTGGCTTCAGACCAGGCCACAGAGCTTGGTTCGCTTTCAATGCCCGAATCAGAAATGATGGAAGAAGACCTCTTGATGATCCTCGCCAGCACCGACAGGGTCTCTCGTTCTTCGGTGTGTGGATCCTTTGGGGGAGATCTAACATCAAGGGGCTCCCTCAGTGCAGAGCTGGAGGTTTCCCAGGGATCCGAGGGAATGAGTTTTAGGCCAAGGAGTAGCATCCTACCCTCCTGGTCTGCTCCTTTTCCATAAGCATTCACATCATGGAGAGTTGCTTTGTCCGAAGGGATGGCATTTGGGCGACTTCCCTTGGCTAACACTTTGCTCAGCACGGATGTCTCTAACCCAGGTTGCTCTCTAGGACTCTGGGTCTCACACTCAGCACTGACAACCACTATGGGATCGGCCCTGTGGCAGTTCTTATTGCTAGATTTCACATCAATGTAGGTGAGTGCTGGGGCCTGCGCATCCTCAGGGCTTGGGCTCTTCCGGGGCAAGGCCACATCTGCCTGCACACAGGTATCCACATCAGACCTTTGGTCGGTCAAAAATTCTTCTGCAGACACATTCGCTTTGTTTTGGAATTCACCAATGGTTAGATATACCTGAGACTCTGAGCACACATCCTCCTGGTGCTGTGTAGCTGTGTTGTCTCCTGGCCCTGGACCCTGGAGACTTCCTCTAGCAGGGTCCTTTGGGTTTGGTTTCACGGCAGCCAGGACAAGGTTTTCCCTAAAAGCTGATTTTCTATTTACAATATGGTTTTCTTCTTTCTCTTTTAGACTTGTTATTGCAGGATTAGTCCGTGGAACATCAAAGGTAGGATAAACATTCACTTTAGGTCCTGTAATAAAAAGAAAACATATATTACAATCTAAGAATCTATGATCACGGGTTTGGCATGATAGCCTAGCGACCAAAGTCCTTGCCCTGCATGCTCTGGGATTCCTTTTTGGTGCTGGTTCTAATCCCGGCAGCCCCGCGTCCCTTCCATCTCCTTGCTTGTGGCCTGGGAAAACAGTCAAGTGTGGCCCAAAGCCTTGGGAGGTTTTGGAAAGGCCTTGCAAAGCCTTGGATGGCTCAAAGCCTTAGGAAACAGTTGATGATGGCCTAAGGACACAGGTCCCTGGCACCAGGTGGAGACCCTGATGGAGTTCCAGGATTCTGGCTTCAGCCATTTGGGCAGTGACCCACTCAGCCATTCCACTTTTGAATAAGTCACTCTTTTAAAGGCGGACTCCAGGAAAGGTTCACGAAAGACAGCGGGAAGGATGGGGTAGGAAGGTCCTGGAAAGATAAGCATCTGGCTGATGCTGAAGAAGAGGCTCAGAGACAAAGAGGAGTTGATGCTGAGAAAGTAAAGGCATATGATCTAACTGCACATGTAAGGTGAGGGGCTGAGACTTGCTTCCACCAGGATGTCTCCTAATCAGCATAGGAGAAAAGACGGAATAACTGTGCAACCAAACCTAACAGTGAGAACATCAGACATTCTGATAGGTGCTTAGATTCAACTTTCTTTTCTAACTATTTAAATAATCTGTAGTGAAAATACGTATATCCACACATGCACCTGCACATATACACTCTCGTGCAAACACACACTCATACACACCCATCTTGGATGTTTTCTAACAGACCCCACAAGCTGGGTTGGGGGTCACTCCTGCACTGATACACGCCGTAGCTGTCATACACCGTATGGACACTAGATGGCAGGGCACAGCACAGTGCTATAGGATTTCCGTGACTCCTAGTTGGAGCTGTCTGACTCACCTGGATTTGTAATCCTAGAGTTCCAGGTTGCAGGGACACTGAAATGGGGCTCTTTCAGGCATCCTCTAAGAATAACATTTTAAAACGTTTTCCAAAGAAGCAAAAAAGCTTTGCCATCAGGGTTGCATGTTGAACCAATGTTAGATGATGTTGTGTGCCTGTTTTTCTCTGCGTAACGAAACTCAGGATTGGAGAGAAAAAGCACCTGGCATTTGCATTCTAGGCAAGGAACTCTCTGGTCCATGAAGGAATCACGGATCTCTATTTGCATTACTGGGGTTGAGCCTGCATGGACAAGGCTACAGGGCAAGACACAGAGCTGACACGAATGAAAAAGGCAAACCTGTGGCAGGGCAGTCCACATAGCGGTCCTCGAAGATCACAGGCAAAGTGTTGCAGTCTCCGTCGATGTCCAGGCACTCCGCAGGCAGTGGGGGCATGCTGGAGAGGTACTCAGAGTTCCGGACATCAAGGGACAGCTGGCTGTGGCTCTGTATCCTGGGAAGGCACCGAGAGGGCAGGTGAGCCTCACAGGGGACTTTCATGCTTTATAGTTCTGGCAGGAATCTCCACACACCACAGAAGACTCTGCCTGTCTGTCCACCACCTTCATCCAGCCACCTACTGACCCCCATCCAAACTCCAGTTTGTTTTGGAACTGGTGTGGGCCCCGAGGCTTGGGGACACCCCCTGTAGCCTTAGGGAGACCCCTCACACAGATCACATGTCACTTTAGGGGGTGCCATCACATGCTCCTGCAATGCCAGCAGAGTTCACAAATGGCCAAAAAATCCCACAGGTCAGCACATGCTTGACTCTTGATTCTTTTACATCACTTAGGTCAAGGGTGGCATTCCTTAGGGGAAAAACCACCTGAAAAATAGTGCTGTGAGTGACTGATGTGTGGGCGCCATGTTTCTTGATTTGTATATAAATCCCTCTGCTTCAAGAATCATATTTTCCCTCCAAGTAGGATTAAAAATAATGACAATCCATATTTTTTTCCCATGACCAAAACATCCTTCCACCAATAGGAAATCAATTTGGGCATTTGGAGCAAAGCTTGGGGTGGCAGAAAAGGCTCATCCCCTTCTCTCCAAGTCAGCAAAGGAGCTCATCTTGCTCCATGAAAGAACCTCACCAACACCGCACCTTTTGTTGCTGCTGTTGTCCGCGCTGCCAGGCTTCCCCAAGGCAGCGGGGGATCCCGCAGAACTGCACGACAGGTGCAGCTCCTTTCTGCCTGTCGGCCCCACCAACCCTCAGGCTTAGCAGCCTAACCTCTGTCCGTCAGCAGTGTGAGTGACTCTTACACGCACACCAGCCCCCAACAACTTCTTCCTCCAGTACACGCAGCAACAGAGGAAGGTGAGTTGACACGGGAGGGCTCTTCAAAAATTTCATGAGAAAAAGGGATTAGCCCTGAGCAAATTTTCCAGGCAGATCTATACTACGTCAGCACACTTGGGCCCATGTTACTGTCTTCAGCTGGAGATCCTGTATAGTTCCCTGGGCGTAATGGGCAGGGGAGGCTGATGATTTGGGGTGTCAATCTGACGGTCAGGAATGCATGGTTAGCTTACAAAGGTGAGCTGTATTCAATCACTATATTAACTTCCCAGTGCTTCTGCTGAAAGAAAAATCCCCAAAAGGCCAGGACTTTGATTAGAGCAGCCAGGCTCAGGCTGCCCAAGAGGGTCTGGGAGAGTGTTTACAGAGCACTCATGTGAGCTGGGATGTGATGGACAGAGTCTGTCTTCAAGGCACAGGGCACACCCCATCCACCTGCGGCCTGGGTAACACAAAAAGCAGAAGGTCAAGTTCTTGTGTTTTTTATTTTAATTCTGCATCCGGGATGCCCTCTCTTCTCCTGCCCTAAATGTTGCAGCTCCAGCTTTTCCAGACCTGGGCTCAGGGATTTGCCAAAGTGGGCCCCTGGGTTCCTGAGCCTTTGGGTTCCATCTTAGAGTTGCATGTCAGTCTTCCTGCCGTTGATGTCTCGGGATGTGGATGGAGCCACAGGAAGGATTCACTGGTGCCCCAGCTTTATGAAGGCCCGATATGAGAGCTCACTTTCATAACCAAGTGAAGCATTGCCCTTTGATTGCACTCTTTCTCTCTGTACATGCGTGTATGTATCTATCTTCTTTTAAAAAATGTATTTTTGTTGGAAAGACGCATTTACAAAGAGAAAGAAACACAGAGAAAAAGGTCTTCCATCCTCAAATGGTTTACTCCTCAAATGGCCACAATGTCCAGAGCTGAGCCAATCAGAAACCAGGAGCCAGGAGCTTATTATAGGTCCCCACATGGATCCAGGGTCCCAAGGCTTTGGGACATCCTCAGGTGTTTTCCTAAGCAACAGCAGGGAGCTGGATGGGAAGTGGAGCAGCCAGGACACAAAAGGCTTTGAAGTGGAGGATTAGCCAGTTAAGCCGCTGCACCAGCCCCTAGCTATTAACCTTCTCTTTCTCATCTGCCATCTGTCTAATTGTCTGGTGTCTATCTGTTCTGTGTGTGTGTGTGTGTGTGTGTGTTTGTGTGTATGAGAGAGAGAGAGACAGACAGAGAAAGAGAGAGAGAGATCTGCCTTCCACCTCGCTTCTATCATGTGTCTGTTTGCCTGGGATATCTCTCTGTCTCTCTCTCTCTCACTCTGTATCTCTATCTCTCACATCTTTATGTACTCTCTACACCTGACTGGCTCCACCTCTACCTCCACCTCCTTCCTCCTCTACCTTCCTCCACCTCCTATTAGTCTGTGGGCCTGGAGAACCCTCATGCCATCAGGGCCTCAGAATCCATCAGGTGATAACCGAAAAAAAGTGAGAATGGATCTTCCAGACAGGGAAAACACCTCCTCCGTGGAACAGGCAAAGAAAAGAGCCCACTGTAGCCCTGCCCCATGTCCCCAACCAAAGCCCGTCTCCTGTCCTTGGCTTGGCTCTCTTGCTGCAGTGCTGCCGTCTCTAATGAATGAGGTCACTCCGGCTTTGTGGAGCTCACTGCTTAGCAGCCATCCTGCCTGAGGTGCTGTCTGCCTTTCTCACTGATGCACTCTGAGTGCCGTGAGCAACGCTTCCCATCAGCAAACAAGTGAAAGATGTGAAAAGGACCACTTACTCAGCAGGCCGTCTCGGAGACACCACGTTGTACACACTGCATGCTGCATGGGGGTCCTGTGTCAGCAGCTCAGAGGCAGAGGCGGGGGAGGTGGGCTCAAGCAGGAAGGCCCCTGAGCACCCTGCTGAGTGTAGGCCCGTGTGGGAGACAGCAAAGCAGTGAAAGCTGCCCAGCTCAGTCCTCAGGACCAGGTCAGTTACCAGACAGCGCTTCTGCCACAGGATGGTGTCTAGGAGTGATTGCGCGCCTTCCCATGTTAGCAATATGGGTGTGGACACACGGGTGTGTTTTCATGGATATAACACGTGCCCATGTATTTGAATGTGCAAACGTGTTTGTGTGCACAGAGCAGGCATGTTATGTGTCGGATTGACTTGCGCTGATACATTAATGTAAAGGAGTACTCTGAAACATGCACAGGTATGTGTGTCCAAGTGTGTCCATGTGCGTGTGTATACATCCGTGTCTTCTTGGATTCTTTAAGGAAGAAAGGGACACAGCACGAAAGAAGACAGTGAAGAAGCAACATCACTTGAACAAAACTGTTCAGAGAAAGGGACGTCCCATCTCAATCTAGGAAGCTTCAGGGTCAACGTGCAGAAATTGGAGACAAGTTCATTAGCAGCAAAGCAAAAGCATCCAGATTTCTTGCCTGACTCTGAAGGCTCTGAGTGACCCCTGTGACTCCAGGCCACCTTTGCCCTCACACAGCACTGCCCGGCCCGTGATCTCTGATGCACAGCACAGGTCCTGAGGGGCCTCAGTGCCTTTGCACTCACAGCTCCCTCCCGCCTCCGGATCTACGTGCACACAATTCACTCCCACAACAGTTCTGCTTTAACACCCTGCCTCGGAGAGCCACCAGTCCCAGCCACCCACAGCAGGTGTCTGTGCTTTAGCCTCATCAGAAATGATCTTGTTTATCTGCAAATGTATTTGTCTTCTCTGCTCCTTGAGGGCAGGGACACTGTCTGCCTTTGAGGAAATCACTGCAGCTCAAGTCCTTGGATTAGTGCCTGGAACTGAGTGAGTGACTGATGCAGATGGATGAAGCGGGGGAGAAAAAAAACAAATACATGTTAAGAGAATATCCCATCTCTTACTATCAAAAGTCCTCACACGGGCTCCTGAACTCTGCTGTTTTAACTGTTATTGCCAATTCCCCATGACACACTCCTCCCCAGCCCTCACCTGCCGCTGACTGCAGGAGACACCTCAGCACCCAGCAGCAACCTGGGAGCAAAACGCTGTGCACCTGAGTGAGCAAGCGTGCTCCTGGCACAGCTCGTGCCAAGCGCATGGTCACGTCCTCATCTGAGCGACATGCAGGAAAGTTGCACTTGCATGCAAATCAGACTGTAGGGGAGGCAGAGGCACTCACGGTTTGAGCATCAGGTAGATCTCTTTGCATTTCAGTTAGGCCATCTTGAGTAACAATCAGGCAGAGACTTCACAGAAGGCCTGGCTCATTGCCTATTGATTTCAACATCAAGTTTACCCTGACCTAAGGGTCCATACAGCCCACCAGCATGAGGGTGCCTGTGTGTTGGAAACTGAGAAATCCATATTTGGTGTATTTCTTCTTGTGCATTCTTTAGAGAAACAACTCGATACCATGACAGGGGAGCCACAGCTGGAGAACTGAACATGTGGCGTCCAGACTCCTCAGATCTGGTATACTGGCTTGCTTTGTGGCCTAAGAGAAAATACTTAACTTCGCTGAGCCAAAGGGGCTCTGAGCAAGTGCCCTTGGTAGCTAGTTCTATCATTCTTGACATTTAAAAAAAATATATAACCTATGGCAAGAAATTGCTTTCAGCAGGTCCAGCACAATGGCTGGTTAATTCTCTGCTTCCAAGTGCTGGGATATCATATGGTGCTGGCTCGTGACATGGCTGCCCCATTTCCCACCCAGCCCCCTGCTTATGACCTAGGAAAGCAGTAGAGGATGGCCCAAATGTTTAGGTCCCTGCACCCATGTGGGCGTCCTGGGCAAAGCTCCTGACTTTGGATTACTCATCTGGGGAGTGAACCAGTATCTTTCTGTCTTTCTGATCTTTCTGTCTCTCTCTCTCTGTAAATCTTTATTTCCAATGAAAAAAAAAAATCTTTAAATAAAAAAAATTAGCTTTCATAGTCATGGCAGCTGAGTAAAATCTCATACCTTCAGAAAAGTTGAAAGAAAAGTTATAGCAAACACTTCTCACTCTTACTGTATATGTGACAAACCCTCTGAATTAATACCACAGCCAATTAGATATGGTGACCTTTTGGTGCAGAAACAACTTAGTTTGAATTTGCACAAGATGGGTCCTGCCAGAAGGGGTGCACCTGCGGCTTCTGTTTCTCTTCTTCTCCAACCTCAGCCTGCAGGACCGCCTCACCAAGGCAGCCAGCAAGAGAATGCACACCATCTTCTCACGTAACTGCTAGCAGGTGCCAAGTTCACTATTGCCTTCTAAGTCTTCCTCTCCCCTGTATTCCTTCTCAATGACTCTCAGTCTGAAAACAATCTGTGTTTACGTCACAGCTCAATGTCACCTTCTCAGGAAGCCCGCCTCTGAGGACTCGTCGGACAGCCCCTCTGGCTCGTTCACACTGACGTTTATTTCACACCATTCATTTGTTTATTTCTATGCCCTCTACCACTAAAATGTAAAGTCCTTGACGTAGGAAATTTGTCATTTCTTCACTACTGCTCAAAAGAGTATCAGGTGCAGAGTAGATAGTAAATAGATATTTCCTGAGTGGAGAAATCTCCCTTCTAAGAACCCAGCCAGGAAGGGCTCAGCGAGACTGCTTTGATGTCCTAAGGATAAGCCACAGCATGACGATTTGAAACCACATGTATGAGATGTGAAATGCTCAAGTCCACGCTCATTCACTAACAAGCTGGGGTGGGCGTGGGGGGAGACATGAACTGAAGCTTTCACAGTGCCACGAGAGGGTCTTTCTCGGGTCCACACAAGCCCACCAGGCTTGTTCCCGCCTGCCCCACTGGCCCTCCCTTCCTCCCCGTGCTTCTACAGCTCCACGTGCCGTCTCGGACCCTCCAGATTCACTCTGATCCCCTGTCACAGCCTCTGCGTCAGCTCCGCCTCAGCAACGATGAAGCTGCTCATACCCCATTTCTCAAAATTCTTGTGCTTCCATTGCTACGCTGGTCTTCATTTGTCACCGTCTGAAGGGATCCCATCCATGCCGTGCTGATTCTCCACTAGAGAGCGTGGCAAATCAGAACAACATTCTTGACCTTGTCCCCTGCTGCATCTCCACTGCTCTTGTACAGGAACCATTTCGCTCACTTACACTTCATAAGATATTCTCGTCTAACCCTAGCAATCATTATTGTTCCTATCCTCTGGATAAGGAAACTGAGAGTATAAGTTGGGATAAGGGATAAAAATGGCAATGGGAGAAAAACAGCTCCCCCAAGAACATACATAGGGTCTCTGACACACATAGTCTGGACATCACACCATCTGGCCTGGGTACAAAGTGTTTGGAATTACAATAAAGCTCTCCAATGAGATCAGAATCCTTGTGACCATGATTTCCAGATGTGCTCACCTTTCTTGAAGACACCATGATGGCTTTTCCTGCCGTTACAGTGACACTGGAATCAGATTCTCTGTGGTGGTGCGGGTTTGCAATATTTTTCTTGGTATTTCTTAAAGTTATGTTTCTAGGGGCCGGCACAGTGGCATCGCAAGCTAATCCTCCACCTACTCGTTCTGGCAGTTTCCATACGGGAACCAATGTGTTTCCCAGCTACTCCACTTCCAATCCAGCTCTCAGCTTATGGCCTTGAAAACAGTGGAGAATTAATTCAAGTCCTTGGGACCCTGCATCTACATGGGAGACATGGAAGAAGCTCCTGGTTTAGGATCCGCCCAGCTGTGACCACTGCGGTCACTGGGGAAGTGAACCAGTGGGTTAGCATCATTCTCATTCTGTTCTCCATCCCACAAAATCTACTCTTCAGCTAAAAATAAACAATCCTTGTTCTTATTTGTCATATTGTGCTGTTAGTTGTTAAAACTACATTCACCAAGTTCTACCTGGAGACTAGAATGAACAGATGACTAAATGTATGTGAAACAGACTCACAAGATGTCTGGACCAGTTATTTTAACATGAAGGTGTGTTTTCCTTGGCGTTCTCCCACCCCTACTTTCAGAAGCTGTGAGACAAATGGTAAATGCTGCTGTAATTTTTAAAAGCAGTGAAGTGTGGGGAGAAAATTAAGACTATGCAGATAAGCATTCACAGGTCATCAGCATTTGTCTTTGGCGATGGATTATTCTCAAGTGCTCCTCCTGCCAGACTTGCATGGTTTCTACAAAATCATTCCATGTCCACCTTGACATTTTGATGTGAACACACTCCTCAGGTTTTTGCTTTTTAACAGTTGTGTGTCCAAGAATGAAATTTTTTGAAGGAATCTCCGTTCGTGCTCACCAGCTCATCCATACAAGAGGATAACCTCATCTTCCATTAGCCCTCTAAGTTCCTTGAGTATGTTAAACTTTTATATTTTGAGGAAGAAGTAAAATGTAGAAATGGGTACTCTTCATTAAGCTGTTGAGATTTCATTTCTATGCTAAATGCATTTTGTAGCTATTGCACTGTCTCATGTGAATTCTGTTTTTTTTTTTTTTTCTGATATAGCTTGTGGCCACACCACTTTCTATTAATCTATGTTTGAAGGAAGTTTCTGCACATGGAGCCCAAGCAATGACTCAATGGCTAAATCCTCGCCTCGCAAACACAGGATCCCCTGTGGGCACCAGTTCGTGCGCCAGCTGCTCCAATCCAATCCAGCTACCTACTTATGGCCTAGGAAAACAGTAGAGAATGGCTCAAATCTTTGGGACCCTGCACCTGTGGGGCAATCTGGAAACAGCTTCTGGCTCTTGGCTTCAGATTGGCTCAGGTCTGGCCATTGCAGTCATTTGGGAATGAATCAGTGGTTGGAAGATCTTTCTCTTTGTCTCTCCTTCTCTCTATTAGTCTTATCTGCCTGTGCAATACACACAAGACTTAGGAAGAAGGCTCAGCACAAATGTCTTTGGGGATCTAGGAAGTGTTGATTGTGTCTACAGAACCACAGCAGCGCAGAAAAGGACTCTGGTTGTTGTCATTCTGTGCCCCTTGCCAGCTCTCATCCCTGTAAATAAATGTATTTGTTTAATTTTAGTGGGTTGGTTTTTTCAGCCTGCAGAGAAAATGCAGACAGAATGTGCAGAGGCGGGCAAATTCCTCTGCTTTTCCAGCAACGACGATGTGAAACAGGAAGTCCAATGCAGAAAGCAAGGTCTGTCTTTGGTGACTACCTTGTAGGTGAAGTAGATGTGGACTTCATTACTTACAGATTCTCCTGAAAGGTCAGGACGGCAAGCTTCTGGTGCTCCATATAAAAGAAGGCCTCAGAAAACCTCCGGACCTAAGGGATAACACGGGATGAACAGGTGAATGATGTGGAGTGGCTTTGTGTCCATTTCTAAAAGCAGGACTCCAGGAAGTCAATGCTGTGTGTCCTTGGGAAAGAGGCCACGGCCCCGTTGGAAGGAGCTATGCAGCCTTCCTTCCCTTCTGCTACCTCATTCCCTCTCAGCCCCAAGGTGTGAGTGCAGCGTGGAAACATTAGCTTCCCACACTCGGGCAGCCGTTGAAGGTCTTACATCAACAGCTGATGTTAACAGTTGATCAGTTACGGGTACATACTTGCTCACGGTGGTCTTCAGGGCACTGGAGATGCCTCCCCACAAGCACGCCTTCAGCTGTTTCCCAGCTTCCTGCATGAGTGCTCTTCCACTATCCTACTCGCCAAGTGGCTGAACCAATAGATTCTCCTGATCTTGGACTGGGAAACTCCAAAAAAAGTACAATAAACAAAACAATAAGCCTTCTTTCTCCAGTGCCCCTTTAAGGTATTTCAGATAAAGAAATGAAAAGCCCTGGTTTATGGGCACAGTGTAACAACTGTGTTTTGTGCTGCTTCCAGTCATTTCTTGTGCAGGCCTGCCTTCCTTCTAGAATTTCAGGGCTTTGTGAACAGGTGCCATAAACAAAAGCAGATAAAACCAAGGCAGCCATTGAAGTACAGTCCCCGAGCGCTCTGTGTATCTAATCCTTACATGAGATCTAATTCTTGCCTCGTGAGGCTGATTTATGCTGAAATGTGCTTCCCCAGTTCTCCATGCAAGGGATCACATCCTTTACCTGATGTGGCCACTTACCCTCAAGGTGTGGTGCTCCTGGGTGAGATGAGCCGTCACCTGGGAATGCAGAGTCACCGTGTCCAGGAACTGGGTCCACAGAGCCATCAGGTGGGAGGAGAGCCAGGCCAGGTCCTTACTTATCTGTTCTGCTATCTTCTCCGGATTGTTGAGCATCTGAGAAGCAGACAAGGCAGTGAGCTCCAGCAGCCTTCATCCTCCGTTCTCCACTGGCATTCTTGCTCTGAGTGAACACTCCCTTCCCCTCCTCTGTACACCAATAGTGTCATAGCACAGTCCTTCGTCCCACAGGGCCACATTGTCACAGCATATCTGATGTCGGAGTTAAAGCCACAATCACCACCGGTGTTTCTATCAAATGGCACCTAAAGCCCTTAGTCTTGTGGACATGAAAACTTAGAATCTAGCACCAGTCTTCTTATTGCAATGTGCACATTTTACACTCAGCGCAGCTCTGGATTTCCTCAAATGTCTTGCACTTTTTGCAATTTCCTTTTTCTGTTGTTTTGAACTTCTATATCCACCATCTCCAATCCCAATCATCTCTACCTTTCACTGCCAACATTCAGTGCCTCTTCTTTCAAGACATTTTGATTACTGAGTGCAGCTAGGTCTCAACCGTCCACACCCACCTAAAATTCTTCAAAAGGCCATGCATTCTCACGTTGGATTACAGTGTATGCACCTGTAAATCCTGAACTTGATACTTTCTAGTGACTAGCTTCTACAAACAGGCAGGCAGAGTATTAGACATTTTATTTTTACTCCCTATTTATTCCCTATAAATATCCTTTAGTAGAATTATTGCAACCATGCTTTAAAACACTGAATAAACAAAATAGACATGGAGTCCTCTGTCATGCATGACACCAGGGTAGATGGCACCCCTGTTCTCTTTTCTTCCGTCCCGTAACAGTTTCTTCCCCTGTCAAGGCAGCATGCAAACCACATAGTGCCAACAGAGGTAAGAACTTGCAGAAAGATGGTCCACATCTACTTCTTAGATCCAAACACGGAGATTTCTTCTGGCTTAAACTGAAGACTGGTGCTCAATAAAGCAGATCAGGTGGAATGATGCCTCTCAGACTACGAAAATTAAAAAAAATGCAACTACTACAAGCTTAATGCTGTTGCTTTACAGTAAATGACTGGTTCCAGACACAGTCATCATTGAACCATGGCATTCCAGAGTTGCTTCTTCCAAGATGGAAGATTGGTCTTTGATGATGACACATTAGAGAAAGACCGAAGACCTTAAGCCTGACTCAATAAGATGTAAGGCTCAAACTGGGAGTGGCCACTCTTGGCTCAGTCCCATACAGTATAGTCAAGAACATTTAAAGAGGCAGACAAGTAAGGGTTAGGTGGGAGAGCTGGGGGAGAGGAGTCAACTACTGGAAAAGTTTCAGGTTGGAGAGGGAGACTATGGGAAGGACTATCTGTGTCTCATACTAAGATTCTCCAAACAGCACCTCCCGTGAGTGAGATCCTGCATCGGCCCAACCCCATGGCGCCCCCAAGAAGATTCCTCTCCCGAGCTGGGGCCGCCTCTTGTCCGGCCCAATGCAATCTATTGCCGCCACCCACTCATCTGTTTACGCTAGCCTCCACACACCTGGCTACTTCCAGCCACTAGTCTTTTGGTGGGGCTATGCCCTCTCGGTAGAATGCCTTCAGAATGTCCACCTTTGAGTTCGACTTCTCATCACCTTAGATTTATCTGTCCTCCACTGGGCAACCATATAAAATGGCCAACTCCTTCTGGCTTCTGAAGATTCTTCGGAAACTCTGCCAAGCCCCACAGAGAGAGTGAAGAAAGGCCAAAACAGAGAGAGGTCTCCCATGCGCTGGAGCTTCTTTCAGGTCTCCCATGCTGATACAGGGGACCAAGCACTTGGGTCATCTTCTCCTATTTTCCCAGGTACATTAAGCAGGGAGTTTGATTGGAAGTGGAGCAGCTGGAACTTGAACCTTAGCCCAAACGGAATATCAGCACTGCAGGTGGCAGCTTAACCCACAATGCCACAACATTTCTCCACTAACTTCCAACCAGGCTTATTACATCAGTGTCAGCACTCCCCTCTGTCATGGTGGCACCTGCAAACAGTGCAAACTCTGAGCTAAGTCACCAGAGCGCAGAAGAGAAAAAGGAAAAGTTACTGATTAAGAGTGTCTTTGGGAAATTTTTTTCTCCAACCTTCAGGTAAGGTTAGAGAAGCTTCTAATGACATCACAAGAAGACACTCCTGCTCTCACAACTGTCCAGGCTATGCAGGCTTTGGTGACAGCCATGGAAAAATCTTGGCTGACCACTCACAGTGGTCCTGAGCTCCGCAGGCTCTAAGTCTACAGCTGTCGGAATCCATCTCAGAATCTCTGAGCAGATGCTTGGCAACTTAACATCTCAGAAATGCTTCTCGGGTGACCCCAGTGTGCAGTCAGGGCTGCACGTCCTGCTTGCTCATCCCCTGCCTCGGTGCGTGTTCTCAGCACAGAATGCCTCCCACTTGCCATGCGTGCACACGCAGACACACCACGTCCACGGCTGTGTTGGCCTTAGTTCCATGACACCCATGCAGGCAACTTCTTGTGCATGACAGGAATGCACTACAGGATCTGAGAATGCCTGCAGCAACAAGGGCAGCTAACAGCCTCAAAGCCCAGGGAGCCAAAGGCTTACAGAAAGTAATTGCTTAATCCTTAGAACACATCCCATGCACAGGTACTATCATCACCATGCTAAGTGGTAGTAGAGCAGCCAAGGCTCCAGCAGCTTAAGAAACTTGCTCATGATTGCAGTAATGGGAAGGGACAGGATGTAGGGCCAGCAGCCTAGCTCCGAGGCTCTGCTCAGCGGCCACACCAGGCCGCCGCCTCTTCATGGTGCCCTTTCACCTCCAGCACAGGCCTTCACACGGCTCCCATCTCCCCATGCAGTGCCGGGGTACACATGTGTGCCTGCCGAGCGGCCTGAGTTCCCTACCCTCTACCTTGTGCTGTCCGGAGGCTCATTTGAGTATTTGGTTCAGCAAATATTTGCCAAGCACCTAGTACATTCTGACAGCGGCTATCACCATAAATAGAATGTGGCTGCTTCTGTGCAGGAGGTCACAGATTAGTGAAGGAGAGAACAATGGCACAAATATGAGACTTCACTGAAAAGTGAAAACAGGCCACTGCATGTGCGACCTGGAGTGTCAGGAGCCCACGGATCCCAGAGGCTCACATGGCACCCTGAGAGAATGGTTGGCTTACGCCTTATGGGGAGACAGCACAATGGAGCAATCAATCCAAGGGTGAGTGGGACAATCCAGCAAGAGACTGCAGCATGCAGGACACTGGGTAAGGCACCACCTGTGCCCTGAGGGGCAGAAGCAGCCTGTGCAGGAGGGTGATGGCAGCTCAGCCACAGCCCAGCGAAACATCCCATGGCCAAGACCTCTATTCATCTCAAGCAGGTCTTTGTGCTGCAGCAGCCGAGGGCCACTAGGAGGCTTCAATTGGACTTTGAGCCTGTGACTGTATGGCATTCCTTCCCTGCTGCAACCTCCTCTGTATGAGATTCTGCAAAGCAAAGCATGATGGCAGAAAGGACCTGCAATATGGGAACGTATAGCTATGGAAAGGGCAAAGGAGCAGCACCCAGGGAAGGGCCTGGAAGGCAACGGGCAGGGCAGCCCAGAAGGGGCACAGACAGCCTTAGATGCTTCATCCAGCCTTGTGACGACACAAGAACCTGCAGGGTCCGGAAGGGGAGAGCAGCAGCGGTTAGATCGTAAGGACCTGCAGGAAGCACAGGAACTGCCTTTCCCCAGACCAAATAAAGTAGAATTTGCATTTACCAAGGCCCTGATATACAGAGCCCAAGACCTGACTGGTTTTCTGGCAGAGCCTGGTGCTCCCTTGCTGCTCAGGGCAGGCTCTAAACACTCCCAGCTCTGGGCTGCCTTCTGGTGTTCCTGTTGGAAAGCCTCGGTGCTAGCGGTGGGCTGTAAAGCTAGGAAGAGGTTGTAACAGATAGCCACTCCTCATTGCTCTAGCATCCCCCGCAGGAAGCAGGCTGATCAAACCTGGACCAGCGTAAACATGGGTTCCTGCAGAGCACTGTATCCCTCTACTGGGAGGAGCGAAGTGCCATGTGTGGATGGGATGGAATGGGATGGGATGGGATGGGATGGGATGGGATGGGATGGGATGGGATGGGATGGTGGGATGGGATGGGGGAGATGGAGGAATGGAATGGAGGGATGGGGGGATGGGATGGGATGGGGGATGGGATGGGATGGGATGGGATGGGATGGGGGATGGGATGGGATGGGGGATGAGATGGGGGATGGGATGGGATGGGGGATGGGGGATGGGATGGGATGGAATGGGATGGGGGATGGGATGGGGATGGGATGGGGGATGGGATGGGGATGGGATGGGGGGATGGGATGGGATGGGATGGGGGATGGGATGGGGGATGGGATAGGATGGGATGGGGGGGATGCGATGGGATGGGAGTATGGGATGGGATAGGATAGGATGGGATGGAATGGGATGGGGGATGGGATGGGGAATGGGATGGGATGGGGGATGGGGGATGGGATGGGATGGAATGGGATGGGGGATGGGATGGGGATGGAATGGGGGGTGGTGTTGGAGCAGTTGTCCTGTGTCTCCCTGAGTGACAGATCAGGAACTGCATGGTGGGACCCGAGGAGTGACATAGTCTCCTGGCACCAGAGTATCCTAGCATCAAAAGAATGTTTCTGAGTTTCTCAATGAAGCGATGCATTGAGGACCCTCTGCCAGACGCACTAACCCCCAGAGAAAGAAACCAACCAGGACATAGAATCCACCCCCCGTGCCACAGGCCATGGCTGCACCTTGGTGTGTGCATTCTGGTTACTGCGAGGAGAGTGCAGCTCTGGGCAAGACTGAACCATGCTGGGGGTGGAGGACAGAAGAGCACAAGGAGGCACACAGGGCACTGCCCTCTGTGGGCAGAAGCCTTAGGTTGCTGTGTTTAAAAGGGCACTGATTCTATTCCTCTCTGTCTGTCCTCCTCTCAGTATATCTGACTTTGTAACAACAATAAATCTTTAAAAAAAAAAGGGCCCGGTGCAATGGCCTAGTGGCTAAAGTCCTCGCCTTGAATATGCCAGGATCCTATACGGACACTGGTTCTAATCCCAGCAGCTCCACTCCCCATTCAGCTCCCTGCTTGTGGCCTGGGAAAGCAGTCGAGGACGGCCCAAAGCCTTGGGACCCTGCACCTGTGTGGGAGATCCAGAAGAGGTTCCTGGTTCCCAGCTTCGGATAGGCGTAGTACCGGCTGTTGTGATCACTTGGGGAGTGAATCATCAGACAGAAGATCTTCCTCTCTGTCTCTCCTCCTCTCTGTATATCTGACTTCGTAATAAAAATAAATCTTAAAAAAAATGGCATTGATTTCTTTGCATGAGTCTGAAGCGGTGGACGGGCTGCAGGTGCACAAGCCCCCGCACTCTGTGGAGCACAGCCCTGCCTTCCAGCCAGGCCAGAGAGAAGGGATTCTCACGATTCATGCAGGCTGGTGTTGGAGGACCTCAGCCCCACTGGTCCCAAGCACCCAGAACAATGCCTCAGTCAGGCTTACAGATGCCTGCTTCCCTGGATGTGTGTGTGACTCACTAACTCAGTCACTGCTAGCTGGCACTGAGCCATCATCGCCTCCCCAGGCAGAGTCAGGTCACCACCTCCCCAGGCAGGGTCAGGTCACCACCTCCCAAGGCAGGGTCAGGTCCTCGCCTCCCCAGGCAGGGTCAGGATCACCCAGCCCCACCTGCTGCCATCTCCCCTTGCCTTATGCTGCCTGCTTCTAGTGCTGACTGTATTGCCAGCCCTTGGCTTTGTTGGGAAGCTACAAGTCCTAAGCGGCATGTCACTTGCTTGTCTTCCCAGTATCTGGCTGACGTGGCAGAGCATAACAGTCAGCATGGAGTAGAATCACGTTGGAATAACTGCACTGTCCCAGACTGCGTGCTGTCACTGAGAACAGTTGCCAGAGGATCCTATTGCCCTGAGACAGATAAGCTGGCTGAGGACTGTAACGGCCGCCAGGTGGAGATGTTCTGCCTCTGAACAGGCTTCAGCTCACTCTGAGTTTCAGGAGAGGAGACACAGGCTCTTCCACTACCACCAGCAAGCCAATCCCTTAGTGAACATAGGACTAGGCTGATGCTCATCCCGTCACCTTTCTCCCTTGTCAGCCAGCCAACTAGGATGCCAGGTGCAAAATAAAGCCCATGGCAACAGTGACTCAAAACCAAGACACAGCATCCCTGCAGCTTGGCACAGTGTCACAAGAGAAGGAAACAGCTACTCTTTCAGGGAACGTGTTAGGCAGGTTCACTGCTGCCCTGCGTCTCTCACCCTCAGTGCCAACCCCAATACCTCACCAGAAGCAGTGCAGGCACCAGAGGTAACAGGAATGCAGTGCACAGGCCTCCAGGGCCAGCCCTTGGTCACCTCTTGAGTGTAGTGCCCAGGGCTGCCGTGCAGACAGTGCCCAGTGAGTGAATCCTTTGTACAGGAACAAACACTCCATGGGGACGCCACTGTCCCCACTGCTGCAGCTGCACTAGTAACCCCTGGCCTTCCTTAAGGCTCATTGCTTTTCCCTGTGCAACATTGCGGCATACTCTGCGAGCAGGTGACCGAACTCCACACACTGATACCTGCCCACACACGGGAGCTTCAGAACTCATGGAAAACTCACATTGTCTTCTAATTCTGCTGTCCACAGACACATGTGCTTATGTGTGTGTGAGAGAGAGAGAAAGAAGGCAAACATTTGTGATATATAATCTCTAGCTCTTGGCCCAATTTCGTACAGCCCCCTCCACAGTTCAGGTGGGTCATATTTTGAGGGTGGGGGAAGGGAGACATGCTAGGACTCAGCCTGCCACCATAGCTAGTGTTCAATCACATCTGATGCCAAGGCATTGCCACGGCCTCCCGCACCAGGCTGGAGAGCTGTCTGCCTGGCAAGCATGGTGTCCACCGGCCAAGACGGGGCAAGTGGGACAGAAGCTGCTACACAGGGCAGCCTGTCTGACATTGCCCTGGGTACCACTTCCTCTGCACTTTCTCCTGCCTCCCTCATGACATGCTTTAGAATGCCTTGGCACAGGAAAGCCAAGTGCTTGCTGAGTTCTCTGAGTCGCTTGATCACAGGACTGAGCCAGAAGCATGGCCACAGGAGCCCTCTACTCGCAGCTGAGTGGTCAGGAGTGCAGATGAAACATCAGCAGGCTGTGGTGTTGTTCAGTGGCGGAGCAAGCCAATGCTCCACCTGCTAGATGTGACATCCTGTTGGCTGCTCTGATTCCCATCCAGTTCCAAGCTGTTGGCCTGGGAAAGCAGTGGAGAATGGCTCAAGGCCTTGGGACCATGATCCACATGGGAAATCCGGAAGAAGCTCCTTTCTCTGGGCTTCAGATCAGCTCAGCTCCTGCTGGTGTGGCCATTCGTGGAGTGACCCAGCAGATGGAAGATCTTTCTTTGTTTCTCTTCCTCTTTGTAAATATGCCTTTCCAATAAAAATAAACAAATCTTTAAAAAACAAAAACCACAAAGCACAGGTGTGTGCTGGCAATGAGTCTGCTCTGAGTCCAGTTTCTAGGCGTCCACTAGCATGTCGCTTACCCCAAGTCGCCAGGCTTCCTTCCAGTGTGTTCGCCTCCTGTCTGACTGCCCAGCACAGCAGGGTATGCGTGGGCTCCAGAGGATTCAATCTCAAACCCATGCACAGGTCATTTAGTGAGCACAAAGTACAGAAAGGGTATATCGCCATATACCTGAACCCACCTTCCTGCACCATCTGAGGCCACCTGGGCACAGGTGCAGGGTCCAGCCACTCTCAGGGAGGGGCTCACAACTGGTGGTCTGTAAGAGTTTTTCAATGCATGGATCAGGGGCAAGGAGATAAAGGAAGGGCATGCTCCGAGGAGATACACATTTGGTTACGCATTTGAATTTTCAAAATTGTGTAGCAAAGAGTAAGGTTTACACTGTGGGAGCTGCAGAGGCGGAAGGAACACCGCTTCAGCGTGAGGCTCAAGTCTTGTCTTTTCCCTCCTGATCCCGAGAGCGAGCAAGCACCATCTGTCTGGCCTCACCACTGCTATGCATTCAGGTTTTAGGAGCCAGCCTCTCTTACCTGGAGCTCTGAGCACAGCTGAGAGAGCGTTTCTTCAACCGCAAGGGCTTCTGGGGAGACAAAACAGCAATATCATGGAAAGTGGATGCACAGTGCAATGCAGCGCTCACTAATTCAGGGACAATGCCTAAGGTCGAGTTTAGCATTAAAGTCACAATACACCTGCTGAGAGCTCTACCTACCTCTGTCTGCCTACAAGGGCCACACTTTCAAAAAGAATAAACATGATTTGAAGGCATGCCTTGATCACTAACGACCCACCCTCTCATGGATTCACTCACGAGAAGCAGTCGATTCCCAGATGCACACTGCACTTTACACGATCCAAGTGTATTCCAAACTCGCTTGTGCCCTTATAGGTCACTCCCTCCACTGCTGCACACACACAGCTACACCTAGGCTAGACAAGTGTCACAGATTGTATCTCCAGGTTAGAGAGAAAAACTGGAAACCCCGGGAGGCAGAATGACGGGGTTGAGCCTGCTGCCAGCCCCAGGGACTCCAACAATCAGGACCCGCCAGCCAGGGATGGTGCTGTGCTCTCGGCAGGACCAGCACCCTCGGCGATGTCCGATTTAACCATCATAGCCCTGCCTGTGCTTCAACTCTCCCTGGTTCTGTGATGCTGCTGCCAATTGTATGTGGCTGTGAGATGAAGAGTGTTTCATTCAAGATTTATTTATTTGAAATTCAGTTACAGGGGTGGGGAGAGAAGGAGAGACAGAGAGCCATAACAGAGAGAGAGAGAGCCATAACAGAGAGAGAGAGAGAGAGAGAGAGAGAGAGAGAGAGAGAGAGAGAGAATTTCCATGTGCTTCCCCAGATGGCTATAAGAGCCAGAGTTGAACAGGCTGAAGCCAGGAGCCAGTAGGTACAGCTAAATCTCCCATGTAGCTGGCAGGGGCCCAAACACTTGTGGCATCTCCTACTGTTTTTCTCAGGCTATTAATAGGGAGTTGTGTCAGAAATGGAGCAGCCAGGACACAAACCGGCACTCATATGGGATGATGGTGGCATCCCAGGCAGCGGGTTTACCCATCACAGCACAGCACTGGCCCTGCAGTACAAGTTTTAATGACAGCACTGCTTCCCAATGCAGCTGAGCAGTCTGATGGCCTTATTTTCATAACCCTCTCCCTGACTGCTAACCTTGGGTATGAGACCTCAGGAGGCCTAACAGATTTTTGTCACAGTCACCGTGGCTGGTCCCTCGGTGTTTAACATAATGCCTGACATCACGGTAAGCGGTGAATAATAAAATGTGACTTTAAAATGTGAGTGAATGGACACATGAACTCAGTTCCTCTGAGTAAAGGACAAATCGATTTATTTATGTATTGTGAAATATATCTATATACTGTGATGCTACTAACCCCCTTCGCCCCCTGAGTAATCTGAAGGGGCCGTGGGTCTGTGCATGTCTATATCATATTTGTATTATTGGGATCTGAAATAAAAAAGAAAGCTGCAGTGACCACATGACTGAATGGCACCTCACGGACACTTGTCCAGGATTTCCGAGCTGACGAAGCTAGATGGGAAGATGGCACCAGAATTCAATACTCTGTAGCTAACACTGCACTTTGTCCTTCACTCTACCTGCAGAGGAGTGTGTGCGACAGATCTGAGGGGTCTCTGCTCTCAAAGGCCCCACTTCTAACGGGAGGTGAACATGCAAATGCATCATTGTTCAATGAAGTATCTCAAAAGTTGAGGTCTAGGAGTAAAGAGAGAGAAGTCAAGGTACCTGGCCGTTGTCTGATGTTTAAATAGGTGCTAAACTTGACTACCAGGCTAAGAAGTTGGTCTGCTATGAAAGGTGGAGGAGGCTCATTAGCTGACTCTGAACCATGTTACCTGTTACATCTCAGAAGGAGCCGGCAGAAACGAGCCTGTCCCAAGGGGCCAGGCAAGCTCTCAGCTCCTATCACACAGCTGTAACACACCCTCACTCCCATCTTCTGCCAGTCGCAACAGATTCAAACCCAACGCACTCCATGGCATCCAGTCAACTTGCAAGAATCACTTTGTCCCCAGATAACCAAGTAGGGAGAATTATTACAGGTTTCATTAATCACAAACAATATCATCTCACTACCATCTCTTTACTAAAATGTTTATACTTTTATAAGTAGCATTCTGGAATTAAAGCCTAATTAAGAAAAGGTTGCAAAAAAAACTTATATTTACTTGTAGAGAGTTACAAAGCATTATGTGCCATGACTTTCCAGGTAGAATAAACTCTGTGTGAATAAATAAATGAGGGAAGGAACACGCCTTGAGGCGCCCCTGTCTCCTCCGACTGTATTTGCACTTCCAAGACTCTACCCTGCTAGAGTGGCACAGACATTCTCTCTGAACATGGACAGGGCTGTCACTGTGACACTCACAGAAGCCTGCCTTTATTTTTCAACCTACAGGTCCAAGAAGGGATGACCTGCCCCAGGCTCTTACCCAGCTCCATGCGAGGCAGCCCTGGGACGTCCCTCATGATGAGCAGAAAGTAGAGGCGAAGTCCCTGGTAGGCATGCAAGAGTAGGAGGCACAGGTCCCGGTGCCACTTGTGTGCGTGTTGGATGCAGTTCTCGGAGGGGACGTAGAAGCTGCCCTGCGGGGTTGGAAAAGGAACCAACGCTGCTGAGAGGGCTCCTTGGCCACACGGGGCTCTCAGCCTCTGCCCACCTGTGTGCCAGCATCCGGGGGAGCAGATCCAGTCCTTAGAAAGCTAAAATGTGAAGATCCAGGAACAGAGATCTGAGATTGAACTTCTTCATCCCTCCTCCACGTGGAAAAATCCTTGGAAAGCTGTCATGCCTGTGTCTTATCGCACTCAAAATAACAGTGATGATGATGAGTGACAATCAGGAGAATGAAGATGATGGGGACAGTGACATCATAGTTCACAACTCAATGACCCCGTTTATAAGCATCTGTTCTGACCAACACCAGCAGCAGGATGAGGCATCTTATCATCACAGGGAGATAAGGAATTAAGAGACTCTTGGAGCCGGTGAACAGGAGGAACCTTGTTGTAGAATGGCTAGAGAACCCAAGGCTCTGAGTGTGAGATTGCCCAGTGGGAGAGGTTGGCTATTGCTCTCTCCACATGTAGATATAAGCACTCTGAACTGGAACTGCCAGCTGATCTGGGCAAACCAGATGACAAGAGTGAAGCAGTACAGCTTAGAGCTTTGTGCCAACTTGAGAAGGGCATTCCAGGTGAATTCCAGGCAAAACTTGCTCTGAGAACAGAGGGGTGACACTAGAATGGAGAAGCACAGAGGCAGTAGAAAGTAGGAGCTTTGAAGATAGTGTGTCTGCACATCTTTGTGAGGTCAGGGCTTGCGGCTCCATCAGCTGCCTACATGGCTGCTGTGGGCAGAAGCAGTGGCCCTCACCTTCCCTATACTTCTGAAAGAAGCTCAGTAGGGATCTGTAGAACTCCACCTTGTTTGATTTTGTGTGTTGGTGTGTGTGGCTGGAGTCTGGGGTGTCCTCCCTTCTCACCCATCTCCCATCTCTCCTGCCGTATTACAACGCTGGGTTTATACAGTAGAAAAAGGATGTGTGTGATGGAAGGCAAACCTTCATCCATGCTCCCAATGGTGTGCACACAGGCAATGATGGGAGTAACTGCAGCCACCCTACAGTAAGGCGCCACACGTAAGGAGACACGGATGGAATCATAGGTGTGCAGTTACCTAGCTCTCAGACTGCCTTAGGAAACAGGTTCTGACAATGCTGGGTGATGCTCTCAGGAGGAATAACCATGGGGCAGCAATATGGGACAACACACCACAATCACCCCAGACCCTGTGTAGCAACTGTACTCAACAGCACCCTCTAGAGGCTGCTGTGCAACCTCCACCCCAGGGTCACACTTCCGTGCAACTGGATCCTGGCCTTGATTGCAGGCTGCCAGGTCCCTTCTGTTAAGTTCCAAACTCAACAAGGTTTGGAACTAAAAGATTTATCCACTTCATAGCCAGAAAATGCATCCAGCAAGAACATCTGTGAACCTGGAAAAGTAACGTATGCACTCCAATTTCTATTATTTCCTACTATGCTATGAGCACACACAGAGCAGCCAGTTATAGAAAGGTGGTAGAGCATGTGCCCAGCAGGGCATGTGCTAGACCCCCTGGGCAGATGGGGAAAGAAGAAAACCACTGTTACCAGGCCTCTGGGGAATCCTGCGGCTGCTGCCCATTTGATCTTCAGATAACAGGCAGGCAAGTACTCTAATTCTGCTTTTCAAAACTGAATACAGATATAGAAAAAAGAAAAAAAAAATCTCAATTATCACCAGAGGAAACATGACACGGAGCATCCCATTATTCAACTTCCAATAATCTTTTGCAGAATTGTTAGTATGATTCCCATGCGCACAGGTGTCCCTGAATGTATGTATGTGCACGTTGCATGTGTGTTTGCAGACACACGCAAAAGTCGGTGGATTTTCTGACCATTTCTCTCCTCCTTGTTTTTCAAGGCTTTGCCTGTCTTTCAGGTCAGACAACTGTGCTAAGAACTCCTACTCCCATTTCATAGACCATAGACTGTGGCTCCGAGAAGTAAGCGACTTGTTCAAGGCCATTCGGCTTCCCCAAGGCAGGCGCTCCTCAGTACCACACTCATGCCTCTGAAATGAAATCCATGCCAGGCAGGCGACAGACACTCCACAAGGGGCTGCCTTCGATAGCGGAGGTATTAACTGAAGTCCTGAGCTATCTGCTGGCTATGACTAAGCAGCAATAAAAACAGAAAGGAAATTAACAACGGCACCAAATCCGCTAGTTACAGCTGCGTGGCCAGTGGGCTGAAAGCACCCCACAAACCTGCTTCCGGGCCTGTTACCTGCTCACACCCCAATCCTTCCTGAGGACCTGCTGAAGAAGGCAAGGGATCTCTGAGGTCTGCAACTTTTCAGATTCTCAATATCAACTGGAGTTTCCAAGAGAAATAAAAAGGAAACTGGAGAATCTTCAGGGACCTGACCCAACGTGATTGCTTAGCTATGAAGAGGTCAAAATGCTAATCCAAAGAAAAACCCTGAAAAATACAGGACTGTGGCTGGAGATTATTCTAAACAAGGCAAGACAAAGTCTCTCTTCTGCACACACACTCAACCACACGCTTCTGAATGTGACAAAAATAATGCAGACATCCCCCAGTTGTCACAGTGGAAAAAGTCCACGCACCGCCATTAGAACTGATGGAGTGGACTAAACAACAGCCTGATCCATCTCCCCAGCTCAGAGCGGGAGCGCCCCCACCGCCCTTTTTCAAGTGAGGAAGGAAAGCCCTAAATGATGCAACAGGAATCAGGCAGAGCATCAGGCCGGACATGAACTCACAAACGGAGGCCCCCAGGTCAGGTGCGTAGCACAAGACAGGTGACTCTTCTCTCCTTCTCTGTGACCAAATTAACTCCCATGAACGTAGGAGATTTCTGTCAAGCCATATCAGTCAATATGCTTGTATATATGTTACAACTGCAGGAGAACGCATGCATGGAATTGGCTTTAATATTTTAGATGTTTATTTGGAAAAGAAGTGGAAGCTATCTCAGAGCGCAGCACCTAGAGGGCTATTAACCACAGCTGCCATTCACTGTAACTGCTAAGCGTCTGGTGCTGCCTTGAGTCTCGAGTCTTCTCTTGGTGATGCAGGGAGTCTTATGTTTTAGTACATTTTTACCAACAAGAAAATCATAGACATAATCATAGATGAATTAATAAACAATGCTCATTTATTATCCTACCCAGTTAAATGTCAGGCATTGCTTGAGCACTGAACCTGTATTAATCATTTAATTATCATGCTGACCTGATGCATTGAGCCCGAGAAAAACTGCATCTCAGATCACAGGGCAAGTAAGCGGTCAGGGAAGGATTCAGAGACCTGCCGCATGAAGCCCACACACTTGCAGCCTTGACGTTGAATCAATTCAGGCAGCGTTCACACACCTGTGTTCTCACTGGTCATGGCTGCTGCTCCTTCAGACCTTCAGGGAAGCTGAGAGCATGACACACACTTCCAGAGGCGACGTGGGCCCCAAGAGATTAAGGGAGACCCCCAAGGGGTGGTCACGGCCTTGACATTAGGCAACCAGGAGCTCTGACTCAGCATTTGGAGGAGCCCTGGGAGGGTCGCAAGCAGCAAGAGCACACTCTCTTCAGCAAGGGGTTTTCTGTTCCCAGCAGTTTTGTAACCTGGAATCTTCCTAGGAATTTAATTGCTTGAAAATCACTGGACTAGCTCAATGCCCCTTGAGGCTCCAGCTATTCTGCTGTGGTCTAGGGCAAGGTACAAATTGCGTGGCTGAAAATAATATCTTGATAATCTCCCTGAGGTGCTATTTTCATTTCCCATTCCTAAATACTATCATTTTTCCTGTGTGTTTATAAGCCTGCTTAAATGGCAAATTCTGACAGATATTTTTGATCTGTTTTTTTTTTTCAAAACAACTGTAAGTTTTTTTTTTTTTTTATCTTACACTTTGTAGAACAAAAGAACACGGCTGCATACAAAAAGAAAAAAAAACCCACTAGCAGACTGGGCATCAGAGGGGAACCCTGGGGTCACGTGAGGGCTTTGTGACTCAGCTGGGGCACAGTCCCGTACAGGGTTTCTGTAGCATCAGTGGGTAAGAATGGGACTGGAGGCGAATGCGCACTCAAAGCCCAGCCAAGACTCCAGCGGTTGGCATTCTCATCATGGCTTCCACATGGATCCTCCCACCAACAGACTTCAACGCTGGCACTTTTCTTTGGCAAACTGGTCTATCGGCGTCAGCAGCAGACTGACCTAGTTAGACTTTACAGGAAGGAGGGGCAGCCCTTTCGGTGCACTAGTTGGTCTCATTAACACACCTGCCTTCCACATCCACAATTCTTGGGTGTGACCCCCTCGTTTCCACGCCCCACTCCAGCAGCACGGGAGGCAGCAGGGGACCGCTCCAGCAGTCGGGTTGCTGCCCCCAAAGCAGGGGTGCTGGGTGGAGCCCCTGCCTCCTGGCTCAGCCCTGGGACCACCTCAGCCAGTGGAGGTGCTTGGGAGATGGACTGCGGAGGGGAGATCTCTGAGTCCAGACAGAAACATCAGCACACCGATTTCAAATACTAACTCATTAGTAACAACTCAAATACCAACCATGAATCATTCATAACCTTCTTACAAGCTAACCTTCAGGCTACATTTTGCATGAATACATGAATTTTTGCTATTAATCTCTTTCACTTCAGAGAACTATATTTTCACATTGAAAGAGCTGGCTTTCCTCATATCTTTCAGCAAGTAAGAGGGATTAGATCAATTCCATTCTAGATAATGATCCTAATTGCTCTTCATCTGTTGCTTCCTGTCCGCCCTGGACTGTGCTGAGTCCTTGAGGTCGCAAGTTCCAAGGAAATATCCCCACTTAGAGTGGAATGTCCTCGAGTCTGAAAAACCAGCGATGTGAACACGGGATTGCAGGACAACAGTGCAAGTAATATTCTAGAAGAAATAATGAGGTGCTGTATATGGTGGAGTCCACATCACCCTCTGGGCAGGGGTGTGGGTGCGAGGGTTTCCTGGTGCAGGTGAATACTAAAGTGCTGGGTA